ACATATGTGTCAGAAATGTAATATTCACTCAAAAAAACTATTAAAATCAAGATTTCTATCTTCATATCATTGACAGATTGTTAATACTGATGAACATTTTATTGTTGTAGCTGCTCGAGGTAGAGCTAGTTTGAACTACTTTATATACAGTTTTTAGTCCAGTGGTTCTCAAACTAGGGTCAGGCCCTCCCAAAGGGTCACTAGATATTTACAAGGGGTTGTGAGATGATTAATGGGAGATAATTTAACTGTTATTTAAATGAAACCATGTCAGAACTTTAGAGGTGAAATCTCTCTTTGGTGACTGTGAAACATGTAACAAGGGTCTACAACTTGACTCGTCTTTTTCATGAAATGCAAGGAGCCCAAAAGAAAGAGATTGAAAACCACTGGTTTAATATATAACAATGCTTATATAGATATAAACGTTTATAAGTAAAATAGTAATCGGTAGGTAACTCCAGCTGTCAGATAAATGCAGCACTTCAGCAGCGCCCTAGAGGTGAACTGGCACCTCTCCAGCTACCAGTCCACACTGTGGTTTATCATGGACTTGAACCAGGCACCCTCCGGTTCCCTACAGACTGAGCTACTGCCACCCCCAAAGTACCTCAAAATTGCACTTAAACAGATCTGTTCAGGAGTTGTCACATAGTCAAGTTTGTGGAGAGAATATATTTCCTCTGAGGTCATGTTGTGAAGGCCGCAAGGTTGTTTCTGAGAGCAGTCCTACATAAAGTGTTTTTCTTCCATTCTCCACTCGGTCCGGGAACGTGGCTTTAGGTGAGCTTAAAGCACGGCCCATAACTCTCATATACTGCTTATCCTTGGGAGTACAATATTTAGATTTCAATCTGCTGGGACAGGGGGTCTGCAGTCCATCAGGGTAAGTCTCACTGCTGTAAACACCGAGCTTATTTCAGGTGCTGAAAATGACTGTGGACAAAAACACAACCGCCTTGTACGGTCACAGACAAACTGAAGGTGGAACGTGTGCACGAATGAACAATATGCTGCGCAACAAAATCACCATTACCTACAGTTTGACTGGTTCACTTCATATGAACTGATTTCAAAATACACTGTGATAAGTTAAAGGACTATTTTAACATTATTTGGAAATATGTTTATTTGTTTTATTTTGCAGAGAGATGAGAAGATCAATAATACTCTGCTGGCTGAATATGAGGCTACATCCAGAAGCTTGTTAGCTTAGCTCAGCATAACACTTTAAACAGGAGGAAATGGCTAAAAAGTCCATTTACTTGCAACTCTTAGATCACTTATTAAGATGTTATACAAACTAAATAAAAAGCTAAAATTTGGTACATTAAGTTAACTTTCTAAATTCTTTGACATAGTCACGGTACAGTATTCATCTCTTCCTGTGAGCCTGCACTGAAGCAGGGTTAAATAACTTTAAATGAGGGTAAAATTAAAGTTAAATCTATATATGTGTCATCTATATTTAAACGGATAATCACATATAACTTATACAGCTTATACACGACAAGAAAAAACCTGAACTCTGAGATCACAGCTGCTCTAAAAGCAGATTGGAGTTTCTGACTCACAGTTTCACAGACAGTACAGACGTCTCTGAGGTAGCACTCGCTCACTCATTGGTCACACTCTACACTTCCACATGTGCCTTTCACATTTTCACAGTGAACACCGGGTGGAACGGGGCTGTAAGGACACTGGGAAGCCAACAGGGGCCACGAGGGGCTGAACTGTCAACTTATATTGTGAGACTGCTCGCTCCGGTGCACAAAACTGCAACTTTATGTAAGAAACATCAATATTTCTGCAACCTCAGGGACTAAAAATGTTGTCAGAAAGTAAACCAAGTGTCAAATTTTGAAACATCTTGGAGACTGGAACAGAGGCCGGCTTCACAAATAGCCTGGATAACTCCAGTCTGTTAGCTGAAGGAATTACAAGTTGTTCATTTTGGGGGGGGAATGCTAATTTTCTTTCTTGTTTAATGATCAATCAATCAATATCACTCTCATATCCACCTTCCAGCAAAGAAGAGATATAAAAAATGAGATATAATGAGTGAGCTTCAAAGGTGCTGGCAGATATAGTAACCTTTGGACTGGCTAGTTGTTTCCCCCTGTTTCCAGTCTTGTTGATGAAACTACTAACTTGTTGTATTTATTTATACTTGTTTTCTGTTCATTGGTCTTATTTGATTTGTATTAGCTGCTCTTTTGAGCCCAGAGATGTTCGTTCTTGGAAAGGTTCATGCCTGTCCGTTGAAAAGTTACTGTTCTGTTACTGAACCTCCTGCAAAAAACCTTCTCCCACCATCTCTACAGCCACTAGGAAGACTGGTGAGGATGAAATCAGCTACAATAACCTTTACGACTGCGACTCGGGACAGTGAATAAAAGTCACTTCAGTCTTAGTTGATGAAATGTCACACAGTATGCTGTACACTGCCAGTTCAGACAGATTTAGCAACAGATACAGAGGCACAGAGGGAGAACTGTGAGGTTAAAGTCATTTTAAATGGCGCAATCATTGCATAAACTAAACTGAGAAAAAGAAAAAGTTGTAAGTCACAAGTTAGCAACATTCAAGTCCTTACAACTTGTAACAAATTCAATAAGGAAAACCATGATAGGCTTGAACATTTGGTTATGAAAGCCTCTGCTTCAAACAGTGTTACATTGAACAGCCATTTCAGCCACTGCACTCATTATTCCTTATCTGTAATACAGTATTAAATAAACATAATGTCCCTTTGGTAGTGTTTTCTATTATGGGAATTGTTGAGACCAGCAGCCAGAGTCAGTAAGGAGAGTTAGTGGCTCTGAATGAATGAAGCGTCTCTTTTTTATTGCTACGGTCTCTATATGAACTGTTACCTTAATTCACATTCATCCACTGTCCTTTGAGCAAAGCGGGCCACAGTTTGTGTCTCTCATGTCGCCATTACATTGGAGTCACAGAACCAAGCATCAGTTTCTCTGAAGAATAAATACTCTGGGAGGTTTAAAAAGGTTTTAGAACATTATACTTATAGATGTGAATTCTTAAGTTATGACTATGTGACTATATTTTGGATCCAGGTAGATATATAAAAAAAACTTATCTTCTTGCTTGTTTTACAAGACACAATAAATTATAAGAACATGAAAATATTAATTAATAGAATAGGCAAATAAAAATGGATTATAAAACATTTTGCTTCATGTAATTTCTGGCTGACGGAGTATTGTTTTCCTCCAGATGTTTGGAAGAGTAATTGAATATTCTGGAAATACCTTCAGACCAGCTGTTAGGTGTTGTTAAATGACCTTTTGGATTTTTCAAAATGTCACCCGGTAATTATTTTGGTTTAGAAAAATGGATACTTAGTGCTGTGCTGTGAAAAGGTCACAGTGGGAATTGTTTGTTCATGCATTATGTTTTGCATTCCCCCTGAACCATAAAGAAAGGCCCAGTTGATCTACGGTAGGATAATGTATTATGTAGTACAGATAAATAACTAATGGAGCTAGTTAAGCTCCATACACAGTGTTTTTATATAACTGTCTGCTGCTGAGCTGACTGAGACAGGCTGTAGGTAGCCATTATAACACTGTGGCTGTGGCTGCAGACATTGCTGTGCTTTGGTATGATTACTGGCTGTGATGCATTTGTTTAAAATGGGTGTAACACTAGTACATGCAGGGGTTGTGTGTGTGTGTGTGTGTGTGTGTGTGTGTGCGCGCGCAGTGAACTGACATGGTTGTGCTGGCTAGAGTTAAGCTACTGTATTCACATCTGTCATCATCTGATAGAAGCCCCGTGGGTTCAAATCCTGTGTGGGTTAACAGTGCTTTCAGTAACACTTTATTTGGAGAGCCTGCCTACATATTTGTATTGTAACACTCCAACAGCTCATTTAACAACTGTTGGTTAAGGTTTTTTAAGGCTTTAAGGCACAAAAATGCAATGTTTGTTGAATTTACAGAAGTAAAACAGTTGAAATGTTACAAACAAGGGCTGTATTTGACTCAGTCCGGTACAATCTTAAATTTAAACTTCATACACAGCAGTTCCTGTGGTGGAAACATGGCTTCATGAGTCTCGTGTTCCAGCCTGCCTCACATTTTAATGCCTTTTTTGTCGTCTGTGATGTAAAAACATCATATTTCCACACAATAAAAGTGTGCGTCCTGCTCACAGTTCTGTTATAGATTCTCAGCATGCAACGCTGCATCTGTCCCGCCGGGCTGCAGCAGCGCTGTCAGTTGAAGAGTCAATCCCAGTGGACAGCCGTAGAGGAGGCTGTACCACCGTGTGCCTGCTGTCCACTGTCACTAACACTCTTCTCCACTTCCATCACAATTAGATTTGAGGTTTGTGGACATTTTGAGCGTCGCTTTGTAAAGTTTACAGCCTGTCATGCAGTTGCTCTGTGAACAATGATGCAACTAAAGAGCAAAAGTGCAGAGATTTGACTGACAAAATGTGAGTCGACTCCGTCTCTTCTTGACTAATAAGTCGACTACTACAGATACTCTACAAATAAACTGGATCTGTAGACAGACTATACAAATAAAGTGTTACCATGCCCTCTTATGTTAGCCACAGTACAGCAACCGCAGCTCATAGATTGAACCACTAGTGCGGCCGAGCAATCACCATCTTCACAGCCACATCTTCATCCAACCGCAGCCAGGAAGAGCAGCTGCAGTGTGCTCACAGTCACTGGCTGTATACTGTCAGAGCTCGGCCTTTTGAAAGAGTAATGAAGAATAAACACTTCATTTAAAGAGTCATATCATCACTCCTTTCTGTAGAATCTGCAGAGGGTTCAATGTATCAAAATAGACCGACTGGCTCTATGGATCAGGGGGGAATTCAGGTACAAGCGGTACAAACTAGGGCTTGAGTAAACCCTGAAAACAGTACTCAGAAGAGACTGATTGTCTAAATATTTCCCTGATAAATAAGATTAAAAAGAACTACGGAGAATCATCTCTCCACTCATCTGTTCTTACCTGGAAGCAGCGATTTCTGCCTTCTGCTTGCCGATGGCCGCGGCCCTCTGAGCGCCCTCCACCGCCCGCTCCACCTTATGCTTGATCTTGGTTCCCTTCAGCTGGATCACCCTCTTCTTCATGGCCTTCACCAGCATGTTGTTCATGTACTTGCCCTCCTCCTTCCCTCCCTCGGCGAAGGTGGTGCAGCCGTAGCCGTGTCTCTGGTTGTTCAGCCACTCGCCCTCGTACTTCAGCCCGCTGGATCTTTCGCTTATTCCATATCCCGAGCGTTTGTCGTTCTTCCACTCGCCCATGTAGACCTCTGTCGTGGTGGCGTCGATGTCAGCCTCCACTGGGGGGAAATCCTCGGCTCCGGCCAGGCTCTCATCCCCGATGCTGATGGTGGAGTTGGTGTCGCTGGCGTTGGAGCTCAGAGCTGATTCTGTCCTCAGGAAGCTGATCTTGCTCTTCTGGCTGGACAGCGAGGTACTTGAGTCAGACTTCTTCAGCTTCCCCAGCAGGGATCCCCTCCGAAACAGGCCCTTCTTCTTGGGTTTCACGGCCTCTGGGTCCACCTGGAGAGTGAGGGCGAAGCCTCCGCGGGACGGTCCCAGCTGGGTGGGGGTAGCGACGGGTGTCTCCTCACCTGAGGCGTTGGTGGTGGTGATGACGGGGATGTCTTGCTGTAGCACAGTGCCGTTGCTGTGCTCGCTGCGAAGGGAGGTCAAGGAGGTACGAAGAGGGGAGCGGACAACTGCTGCCATGCCATACGGGACGCTCTGACGGACCCCGTAGCCGTGCCGCATCCCACCAGTGAACTGACCCTGGAAAGTACCTGGAAACATCAGAGAAAAGGGGAGTAATTCTATCCCAACTGCACCACAGACCAAACATCAACGCCAGCCTGTCGGATGGTGAGTCCACCACTTTGCTCCAGACTTAAAATATCTATTCGATGGATGGCCAACGTTCACTGTGTCCAGAGGATGAATCCTAATGATTCTGGTGATGCTCTGACTTGTTGATGTCAAAGTGAAATCAACATCTACTGGATGGATTCGGCCAAACTTTTGTACAGAGCTTCAGGCTGTGTAGATACCAAATCCTGCTGTATTTGGTAATCCCCTGACTTTTCATCTAGCGCCACCAGCAGGTCAACATTTTTTTTTTGTTATGAGCAAAACTAATGGCACACTGAACGTTTGTGTTATTAGCAGTGTTATTGTGAGCATGTTAGCATTTAGCTCAAAGCACTGACACTAGCACGGCTGTAGACCTTTAAAGACGTCTCTCTATATAAAAATAAACTTTGATTTCTGCCAGAATGTCACGGATATCTTTAGTGTGAAAAGTCTCATCTCATCTTGAGGTCTGGTCTCATGCTAAAATTGACATGTGTGTGGATTATAGTGACAGCTAGGCCTACAGACCGTGAGGCCAGGAGGGCACGGGGCTTGTGGGCTATTATTACATCCTGACATCTGGTGCTATCACATCCCCCCACTGCAACTTCCACCAGACTGGGGCGCAAAGCTGATGAGTCAGCTGTTAAGCAGGGGGAACCACGGCTATTGTACGAGCACAGATCACCTACATTGATTTTATTTATCTAATGAAGGCTCCCGCTACACAGTCAAATGGATGAGCTGGGAAATATTAATGAACCAGAGAATATTTGAGGATTAAAATGGTCAGGAGTGTTTGTAACTGGTGTGGAGGGATTTCATTATATCTGACTTAATGGAGCCTGTTAACCTCAATCTCTTGACGATCAATCGTGGGATATAAAGAGGTTCATTTCCTCAGGTACTGAGTTTAAAGGAACAATTTGAAGGTACTTTACTCTCCATTATATGCTACTTAATACTTTCACTCTACTACATTTGTCTGACAGCTGGAGTTACTTTATAGATTCAAATTTAACATAAAAACATGCTCATCTGATAAAATATGATGCATTGTAATAGATTAAACTACCCAACAGTATATAAAAAGTTCAGTATTCTAATAATACTTATGTACTTGTACTTAGGTGACATTTTTGATGCAGGACTTTTACTTGTAATTGAGTATTTTTGTATTTAAGTATTGCCACTTTTATTTAAATAAATGATCTGAATGCTTCCTCCACTAGTGCAGAGGTCTGCAGGTGCCATTTTAATGTACATTTCAGCGGTGGAAAGTAACTATAGTACATTGACTCTGTACCTAAGTGAATTTTAAGGTACTTGTACTTTACTCGAGTATTTCCATTTTCTGCTCCTTGCAGAGGCAAATATTGTTCTTTTTACTCCACTACATCAGCTATATACATACATACATACATACATACATACATACATACACATGATCATCAAATAAAATATGATGCATTTTGTTTTTTAAGTAAAATTAGATCCACCTTTACCAGCTGATGAAAACATGAATGCATCAATAATTAGAATCCAATAATATAATATATATATGATTCTGCATGAAGAGTACTTTTACTTTTTTACTTTATTTTGATGCTAATACTTTAATACTTACAAACATGGCTTTTATTCATATTTATTTTTACACTGTGCTAATAACTTAAGTAAATGATCTGCGTACTTCTTCTCGTACTCAGATTAAGTTCCTAATCACAGGAACTTAATGCAGAGATCAAGTGGTGGAGTACATTTACTTGTGGTACAAGTACATTTACTCAAGTACTGTATTTAAAGGTACTTATGCTACTTTATACACTCTAAAAACAAATATCTTGTCTCAACAAAAAAGTTTGCATCAATCTTTTTGAGTTGTGGCAACTTCTAATGAAATTCTGTTCAACAAATGTATTTAACTGTTCCTCTATAATCGAAGGTATTTCTAATTACCACTTATCTAATAATTGGTAGCATAAACACAGATTTTTAAGTTTATGAGGTGACTCCTAAAATTAACTTGTTCCAACTAGTTTTTCCACGTTATTTATGTCAACACAACTCAGCAAAATAATGTTTATCTAAATGAATAAATTTGAAGTTTTATCTTGCAACCATACATTCATTTAAGTGTTGACAGCAGGCCCACTGAATCTACTCCACTACATTTCTACTAACTAACTACATTTACTTGTAACAGAGTATTTTTACACTGTGGTATTGCTATATGTATAAATAAAAGTAAAAGCCATAAGTTTTTGTCCCACCACTGCTTTTCTTTTTGCACAACAACAAATTAAAAAAGTCACATTTTTTCCAATCTCACCTCCATCAGCGTATGTTTCTGTTCCATATCCATCCTGAAGCCCATTATTCCACGTCCCTTCATACTTTGCTCCACTGCCAGCACTGATCCGGATCCCGTATCTGCCTTTGAAGCCATGAGTCCATTCCCCTTTGTAAATCCAGTGTCCTTTGGTTTCTACTCCCAGACCGTGACGCTTCCCCTGCGACCAGTACCCCTCGTAGGTGTTCCCACTGGGCCAGGTGTAGACTCCCACCACCTCGAAGCCGTAGTTCCAGGAGCCGGAGAACTCCCCCTGGCCCTTGGGTCCGGTGCAGATGCCATGGCCGTGGGCTTTGCCTCCCTCCCAGCCTCCGCAATACGCTCCGCCGTCGTCAAACTCAAAGCGACCTCCACTCATGCCTCAGCCCCCAAATAAGCCGCAACCCCGATCAGAAAGTAAAAAAAGCTGTGTGTTAGTCCGGTTACCTGGCTAAAGATAAAACCTCCGTCAGTCTCACTTCACCTTCACCTGACATCAAAACTGATTGGAGATATCCTTGGTGCTCAACTTGTGTGGGGGGATTCGTCTTCTGCAGGTGGTTTGGGGATTTCTGAGCGTGTCCATGAAGCTCCGGGGCGCACTGCAAACTTTATTTTGCTTTTATTTTATTTTTTAAAAATCCTCTTTTTACTCCAGTGTCGTCTTCTTCTTAGGATCCGTCGATTTCACCCAGTTATCCTCCAGAATAAGTTACAAATTTTGGATATAAATCGAATTATTCTTATTTTGTTTAAAGTCTTGAGAAGCCAGGGATCTTACATGGCTTTTTCCAGGTTGGCCCACAGAGAAAAAGCCCCTTTCCCCCCATGTGCCTGCCACCCCAGCTATCTCCTGACAGTCGCTGCTGGTGGAAATATTTTAGCAGACCTAACAAGGCGACCAATCCACACTCACACACCCTTCCAAAAATACAACCCAATCCTTACTCTGCTGCCTGGAAGGAGCCATGCCAGAAGTCTTGCCACCTCGGGGGGCTGAAGCTGAAGTACATGCCATCCAGGACTCTGCTCTCCCCCCCTGCACACATATAGTAGGAACAGTTAATGCAGTCTGAACATAAATATTCTCTAAATTGAATAAATATAAATCTCTGTAAGTCCTCAGTGATGCTCCTGTAGGGCCTGTGTGATCTCATAGATCTCATCAGGATATTTCCACAATAGTCCAAAAGGAAATTGGTTATAATTACTTTATTTAACACTATGTAAGCCTATGTGTGTCTCTTATAGTGTAGTAGGTGTTTGATGTTATAATCACGGTATATTTTGGGATTATATATTGTGTATATATATATATTGTTTTACTATAAAGGTTGAATCATAACTCTGTAGAATATTGTAATTTTCTATAAATAATATAGTTTGCTGGATAACTCCATGAGCATGCTTGCAAAATATACAATTTATTGATAACATATCCACTCATAATTATATTTTTATTATACAATGTAACTAATTTAATTGACAAACAGTGGGAATGAATGTAATGTAGCAGTATTGGAGGCTACTCTTCACTCTCTTCACTCCCTCTGCTGGGAAATATCAGTAACCGCATTGAACATGTTTCAGTCTCCTCTGTGAAGTGTGTTAAACTTGAGCAGCGGTGGAATAATTAAGTAAAATCACCAATACATTAATGTTAAAATACTCAATAACAAGTAATAATCCTAAAGTACTATGAGCACGTAGCTATTATCAGCTGAATATACAAAATAAAATAAAGGTATAGGACTACTTGTTGGGTTAGTGAATATACTTACAGATACATGGTTTGATTGTTGTTAGATTGTAGTTCAACGCATTAAGAGCATGTTTGAGTTTGTTAAGGTGGAGATATTACTTTAAAGTAGGGCAAACTACTGTTTGATAAAGGTAAAATATGTTAAATAACAGCTTTATAATAAAGGACTGTTGTTCTGAAGAGGCTACAAACCTCCAGATTTAAGAAAAAAACAAACATCATCACGATTTTAGTAGTTTTTTTGTTAAAAAAGTAATTTGTGATGCAAAAACAATCACTTCCACACAAACTGGGAATCATATCGCAAATATCTGTTAAAAATAATCACAAAAGATCTTTTTCACAGCAGCCGTTTTGAACTGAAATAGTAGGGTAGACACAGGTGTTACCAATTTGCTCACCGGAAAGGCTCTGCTACACTAAATGGAACATGAGCCTTAATTAGTATCATCGTAACATCTGTGTTTACCCTAATTTCATGTCAAATGGCTGCTGAGAAAAAGGTTTATTTTCTACCATAACACCCAGCCCTACTTTGCACACTTTGCTAGCAGTGGTTACACCGATTTTACACATCAGTCTCTCGTCTGATGGACTTGGTCTTGAGGAGCATTAATGTTACTGCATAAGCACAAAAAAAAAACTAAAAATAAATAAAGCTTCTCCCGAAATCGCCTCAAGTGATGTCACTTGAGTCAACGTCGGTTAAGGGTAAAGACACCACGTTTTTAAAATGAAAATATAAAATCTGCTGGTGTGTAGTGAGCAGGTATAGTATCAGGATACAAAAAAAGGTAACTGTAATCCATTACAGTAACATAAAACAGATGTAATCAGATTACAGTTACATTTAGTAATTACAAGTTTAAAATACATCGGTTTTTTTTTTTTAAATACACGAGCAGAGGACACGTATTTGATGCTAAAACTCTTTTCCATTTTCTTGTCAAAAGTTTCATTGTTATAATCCAGAGAATAGACATTTACACTTGCATCAGTACTTCTTATTGACATTTGTTTTCTCTTGCTTTTATTTTACACAGGCTATTTTTAGTTGAGGTAATTCAAAAGTAACAGAAAAGTAATCACGTTACGTTACTTAAATATTGTTATTTTTATTTAATTATAATTTTTTTAACAGGTAATTAGTAATTAAACCCCGAAAGTTACTCACCAGCCCTCTGTAACGTTAGCTCCTCATCTCTAGAGAGGGCAGAATACATTCTGCTGCATTAATATATTATTTATTGGACTTTTCTCTATTATTTTGCTTTTACGTGAAGAGTTTTACCTTATTGTGTCTTGAACAGTTATTTAAATGCTATTTAAATTTAAACGTAAACATCAGAGGTTTAAGGGGCACTGGTCTTTTGTATGGTAAAAAGATTGAAAAAACACATAAAAAATGAATTGTATCTTATAATGTTATCATGTTTTTTCTAATGCAAAATTATAGTACAGTAGAGTAAAGTTATATTACAGTATTTCCCATTGAAATGTAATGGAATAAAGCAGCAAAAAGTGGCACTATATTCCAGTAGAAGTAGAACATGTCACTCCTGGGACTACAGACCTGCACACATGTTGCAAGTATCTGTTACTTTGTTTGTTTGTTTGTTTGTTTGTTTGTTTGTTTGTTTATGTCGCCAGTAGCACGTGCAGACACATGTAATTCCCAGACCTTAAACAATGTGATCTTACATCCATACGTGTCCTTACACAGAGCCGCTTGACCTTCCACTGAAACGCTCCCTGCGCGCGTTTCCACCGCGCATGTTTGTGCGTGGCCCACCGCGTGATGTAACACGGCTACACACATTGATCTAACTGTAAAGTGTAACAACATGCATGCTGTGCTGGAGTAAGTAAGCTATTTGCATATGGATTAGGCTGTGTATTGCTTTTTTTTTATTTATTTATTATTGTTTTATTTGTGTTTTCATTCGGAGGTTGGAGCCGATTTCAGCACCGGAGCTGTCCGACACTGACGGATGCTGCTGCCGCGTGAACCGATGATGCTGAGCACGAGCTGCTGAAAATCCTCTCTCTCTCTCTCTCTCTCTCTCTCTCTCTCTCTCTCCTCTTCTCTCCCTCCTCGCTCCTCTCCTCCACACGCACAAAACGCTCTGTCATGGCGTCTTCCAACCATGTTACCCCCACCAACTGTAGCTGGTGGCCCATCTCAGCGATGGACGAGGACGGCAAAATCACAGACGGGGAGGAGTGCGAAGAGCCGACGGCGGAGCCCAAACCCTTCAATAAAGACAGGCTCGTTTTGTACCACTGGACGCAGTCTTTCACCTCCCAAAAGGTAAGAGAAAAAAAAAAAAAAGAGAGAGAGAGCAGAGCTTGAAAATGGAGGTGGCTCCACGTCTCTTTGCATGATGCTACAGCGTGGAGGAGCTCTGTGTTTGTTTATGATCAAAGCATGTTGTGTTTTTTTTTATTGTGTGTGCATGTTTATTCCTGCACATTGCTCCGGAATATGAATTTGATCCTGCAGCTGGGCAGATCTCCCGTTTGAGACGTTTAGACAAGCGCTGCTGCAGCATGGGGCTCATTTCCTCGACATATAGCCGGATTGATAGTCAATATTCTGTTGTCTTTCACTCACCACCGCATAAACCACCCTTCATATCTCACCAGCTTCCACCTTTTATTAACACCTTAAGGCTGCTTCTGTCCCTGTGGCTGGTTACAACCTATGTGCTCTGGCACATGACATCCTAAATAATTGATTAAAATGATGTGCAAAACAAACCAAAGGCCATCTTCTCTCCCTTCTGCAGCTGAATCATACCGTATGTTGTTATCGTAATGGCTTCTTTAAGTCTACCTTTGATTACCTTGGCAGACAGTCACCTGTACCTTTGCTGTGAGATGAGCATGCGTGAAGAAAGATGTTAAAAAAAGATTAATACATTCACAGTGATAACAAAGCTGCAGGAAGGCTGTGTACAGTTATGTATGGGCTTTACTACACAAGCATGTATATTAAAGAAACACTCCACCAATTTTACTACTTAAGTTGAGTTCACTCATCAGTTTGTGACTTAATCTTAACCTATAAACTTCCTTTTCAAAGTCATTATCCCAACTTTTAATGTGTAATCTCTGCAGTCTGAATGCATCTACAGCGTTCGGTTCATGTTATTATTAGAGCTGCAACAATTAGTCGATTCACTGATTAGTCAGTTGAAAGGAAATTAATAATAACAAGTACATTTTAAAGCAAAAATATAAAATATGCCTAAATATTTGCTGCTCTTTGCATCATAGACGATAAATTAGAAATAAGTTTCTATAAACAAGAAGTTTAAGGACGTCACTTTGGGCTCTGGGAAGTTGTGATGGGTGTTTGTTTTACAATTAATAGACTAAAATATTAATTGAGATCAATAATAAAAATAACTGTAAGTTGTAACCATTGACAGTATATAGGTTGTAACCTTAATGATTACAATGTTTGGACTATAGCTGCAATGCCTTGACTCGGCTCTTTTGTGGGGCTGTGATCTATAAGCTGCTACGATCAGTCGACTCATTGGAAACGTTTGTTAAAGGTCGATAATAAACAGAAATATTATATAAACAATAATATGAGATTGTTCTTTTAAGAATTTCCAACAACCCTTTTCCCCAAGGCTGGATCTTTAGCTAATTTGTCCCTCTGTAAACACTATCAAGTTGCATTATGGGGGAGTATAAGATCCAGTGTTTATGGAGCTCGACCCATAGTAGGGAGTAAAAGTCAGGATATCTCAGCCTCTGCTGCTTCGACTTTGATCATTTTGTTTTGAGATTTTTTCTCGTAAATTGCCCAAATGTATGGAAGTGCACTACTAAATAGTCCCCCTCTGTGCCTTATGTGTACACATGGATTCCACTCTTATGCTTTATTTATGTGAGTTTTAGAACTGAAACATTTAGTCGACTAATCACTTAGACCAGGGATCCACAACCTTTACTATCAAAAGCTGCTGCAAAACATATTTTATGATGATGAAATAAAATGTTGAGAAAATAACTGTAATTTATCCCCATCAAATTTTTATAATAACGGTTATCATTTCCACTTTATTTATTTCTCTCTTTACTTAAAGCCACAGGGAGCCACTGGAGTGGGGTTAAAGAGCCGCATTGCATCCAACCCCTGGCGCAGTCAGTCGATCAACAGAAACATTATCAGCAACTAATCAATTCTAAAGTTTTAAAGAGTCAAACATTACCTCGTTCCAGCTTTTCAAAATAAGTACAGATTTGCTTTTGTTTTGGGTGAAAACAAACAGAATATCTTGACATCCCTTTGTGATGGGCATTATTCACTTTATTGGACATGTCACCAATTAATGGATTCATCAAACAAATAATTGGCAGATTCAGAATCAAGAATGAAAATAATCTTTAGCTCTGGTGAGCTCCACTCTGCCTGTGCTTTGATCTTTCATTACACACCATAGTGTAGGATTGGTTACATTCTCTTGTTGTGAGAAGTGGCTCAATGCATATTTCCCGACATGTACTCAGCTTTACTGTATGAACTGAAGGATGGTGTTACAGTATATCCTCCTCTCCACCATAGACCAACAACCTTGTGCTGTTGCTCAGTCTCATGTCGGTACGTCGACTGTTGGCACACATCCACCGAGCGGTTGATTGTGCCGGTTGTCACTCAGCAGAGGGTAAACACCAGGCTCACTGTCATGATTATCACCTCAATCCTGGAGCTGGAGAGGCTGAAGTGACGCTCACTACCACTGCTGTCAATGAACAGACTCTTGGGCATGCAGCTTTAGAACAGAACACATAGATTTCAGTAAAACTGCGGCACTAAATTTGCAGAGCGATCCTGATTATATTTATTTGTACAATGGTGACTGACATTTGTTGTTATGCAAGCTGATGCGTGCTTTAGATGGTATTTTGGGGATGGCTTTTATGAGATTAAGAGGCCAAGCACTAGGTTGTCCACTCCACCAGAATTTAACTGAATATTTTAACAATTATAACGCAAACGCTTGCGATGTGATCAGAGGTATCTCTGCATCACCTTGAAAGATAGTGTTATATTTAGTCGGTCTTGTGTCACTTGAAAAACCTTTCTCTAAAAATGAATCCTACTCTAAACACTTTGGCAATGAGATACTGAGCGAGTGATAATGACAAAGCAGTGATTTCTCCAGCAGATCAACAACCGATATCTCTGTGTAGACAGTATCGTCATCAGGTGTTCAGGGGGATTATTTACAGGGCTGTGTATGCCTCAGCAAGTTCTTGAGGAAAGCGGGGAAGCTGTGCCATTGAATTCCTCCTGCACAACACTTTTTACCCCTCTTCTCTGTTTATGATGTTTCACGACTAACTGCCACTGTAACCGTGCTCCTGAAGTGGGTCATGTATATTCATCTAACTCACATGAGCGATGTATTGTGAACACAAGAGATATGATAAAGATAAAGACAGATGGAGCTTGATACCCTGGAGTAACACCACATTTAGAGGCCAGCTTCACAGATCAATACAGCACTGGCACCCTCAAGGCCTGCAGGTTAGAGATTTACACCTTCAGCACACCCTCCTTGAGAGTGTAACACTCTGCTGTTCTCTGTGCGTGTAGAGGCAGAGTCCGTGTCATTTGAGAATTAGGATCTTGTGATTTCCAGTGTAATTGTGCATTAACAACCAGTGGAGGAAGAAGTATTCAGGTGTTTTACTTGATAAATGGACCAATACAGCAATGTAGAAACTCTGTTACAAGTTAAAGTCCTGCATTCAAAAGTCTACTCAAGGAAAAGTACAGAAGTATTGTCAGTAAAAGTATTAATTCTGCAGAAAAATCTAATATATCATGATATATCACATTATTTCTAATCCTAATGCATCAAGGCGTGAGCTGCATTTTACTGCTGTAGCTGACATAGAGCTTTAAAATACAGATACATAGTGTAGTCCAGTGGTTTCCAACCTTCATTAAAGGTCAACCTCCTTCAAACAGGGGCTGGAGTAGAGGGTCAATAGGTACTGTAGGTAGTTGGCTTGTTAGTGTCATGGATGGATTACTGGACCAGAGCCTCATTGTGAAAAGACTGTTAACATTTCTTGTTGCGCCGACCACAAAGAGACACAGAATGACCACAAAGAGACGCCGCTGATTTGTATCTCTTTCAGGGTGGATGTATTGTTGCATTGTCGGAGGGATGGAGGACCTTTTACATGTTTGTGTCCAGGGTCCGGTTGTCTCATAATCTGTCCCTGTATGTAGACTGTTTGGAGTTACAAATAGAAGGTTTTTATTGATATTATTGCATGTTAGGAGATTTTCAGGGGCGCATCTAGAGAAATATTCATGGTGTGGCAAGAGGGTGGCATGAAGACTGAAAATATATGCTGATTTAATCGCAAACAATCTCCATGTTTGCTTTGAAAAGCCCCAAAATTAAAGATATTTGAACTCAAAAACATTAAATTACTGTGGCACATTAGTATAGTATCAAATAGAGAGGTTCTAATGGTGACATTAGAAATCAATAAACTGTTTTATTTCCAAATCTTTAGACATTTTTTCACTTAGTCTAAAATGTGGCCATAACAGATCATTAAATCAATTTGCGTTGCTTTTTTTAAATTAATCTAATTTAATGTGTTAAAGTTGACTGCATTTGACACCAAACTGGGGGCAGGCAGCTCCATGCCACCCTTCTTCATCCGGCCGTGGATATTTAATGTTGTTTATCTGGCATTCATTTATTACACTGAATAACTGCATAGTGAACAATTTGTTATTGCCAAGAACCAGACTCTTAACACATTTTTACACATTTTACAAAAGGGACTCCCTTCTGTGCCTCCAAAGGGTCACAGTATAAAGAAGAAAAAGATAATTCTGATAAACAAATTCGTATTTTTCTTTCTCTTTCTCTAATCTTTGTTTTTTTGTGAGTGATTTGACTTTTACCTCCTTATTCAAATGAAACCATGTGAGGAGTTGGTGGAAAAGCAAACAACTCAAGGACGAATGAAACATGACAAGGGGCCCCAGTGAGACACAGCTTTTTTGTAAGGGGTCAAAAAAATATGGGAAACACTCATTTAATCTTTAACAGCGTGTTATATTTCATAAGCTTATCATGTTTTTTTTTAAATGTAAAACCTGTTAACTAGTAACTCCAGCTGTGAGATAAATGTAGTGGATAAAAAAAGCATAATAGTTCCCTCTGAAATGTAGTAGAATAGAATTAAATGGAAAGTAAAGCACGTCAAAACTGTCCTTACAGTACTTGAATAAATGTTCCTTTCCACCACTGTTAACAGCAAACGTAGTGGAAACATTTATTCTTCAGTAAGTTTATTTTCTGCCTCCCAAGCAGATGAACTATTTGGCATCATTACTAAGGAGTGACTAATATTATTATATAACAAACTCTCGTTGCAGCAGTGTTATTGTGGGCATCACCGAGGGACACCTCAGCAGTGTGAGCCTGGGACCTCCAACATTCAACCGTTTTATATAGAAATCCTTGATTTAGTGTCTAACAGTGCTGATGGAGATGTAAAAAGTGTTTTACCTCTTTGATTTTCCTGCTGCATTCATAGATTTTTTCCTGCTGTCCGAACCAGTGGCCCCCACTATAATTACTTTGCTTGTGTTACTAAATCTCTCAGTTTTATTTCATTACACCGTGTCTGGCCATGTTTAGCAAAACTCCCATTTTGCTGTTCCTCCTAAGTGGCCAAATGTAGCACTTTATACCCCAAGTGTCATCTCCTTTCATTAATCTTATTCCCACTAATAGCTCTCCATGGACCTTGGCTTATCCTTCATCCCACAAGCAATGGATCCTGACTGTCCTGGAAGGTTTTTACTCAAACTTGAGCACGCTGTGTCTCATTATTTTGCCATACATTTCAGCTAAGCCTATTTATTCTATACAACATAAACATGATAACAGTTTAATGTCATAAACTAAGAGCTGAAGCTATTAGCCAGTCTGCTTAGCATTGTTGTTTTTGTGTTTTACCATCTGGATGATATTTTTAAAGCCACAAAATATTCCCTGTGCATTTAATTTATTTATATATAAGAAAAGGTGTGGTGTGTTTAGAGTGTACACAAACCTTTCTTGCCTATTGAACTCTTTTTGGATTTGTGCAACCTGCAGTAAACGAATGCCTTCAATGTCTCATCTTCCCCGCATCAGCCAGAAGGTCATGTGACGTTTTTTTTGTGCTTATAATTGCAGGTACGTCTAGTCATTAATGAGAAGGGTCTGGTCTGTGAGGAGAGGGATGTGAGCTTGCCGCTGCAGGAGCACAAGGAGCCCTGGTTCATGAGGCTGAATCTGGGTGAGGAGGTGCCCGTCTTCCTCCATGGGGACAACATCATCAGTGACTACAACCAGATTATAGATTACCTGGAGAAAACCTTTGTGGGAGGTATGCTACAGCACATTTGACGAGGCTGTTTCTCTTTCTTCTCGTCACTTTAAACTTTTGATTTTAAAAGAGTGGCTAAAAGCAGGTTATCCCGCCGTGGGTCCCTGTGACACAAAGAAGTTGTTGGACCCCAGTTGAGAGCTTGCTAAAGCCCCTTCTCTGCACAGCGGTTGTCCAATCGTAGCTTAGCAACTGTAACAGAAAGTAAAGTAAAGTAGTGTGCATGGGGTTGTAGTAAAATCAATACACTGCATTTAAAGAGTTTAAAAAGGGTTTCTTTTTAGAAATACACAAGAGAAAATGTTTCTTCCCTGGGTCAAATGTTCAATGTATGTACCACCTACAGCCTACTGTCTTTGATGCTATCAGAGTTTAGGTGGACATTAGCGGCTCCGTCCAGCTCTTTATTGGACTTTGGGATGTTTACACTCCAGCATCTCTAACCAAACTCAACATCCAAGATGTTGTTGTGTTCCACACACACATCAATTAGGCTGTGTGTCCAAAATCACTTTCTATTTACTATATAGGTCACTACTGCCCTCTATTTTATTTGAGTGTCCAATTTTTGAGTATGTATATTTATCCACTGTATAATGCCCTGGAAAATGTTCAGTGCGCTTTCTTTTGTAACGTTAAAAGCATGCTGTTTAAAACTATAAACATTTATGTAAGCTAAGCAGCCAAACAGGGTTATATTAGTCTGATCTTTCCCTTATTAAACTTATAATACTATAGCTCTACACTGCAATACAAGAACAGTACTGTTTCTTTATTTATGTCTTCTACATGAATCATCAATGTTGACTTTTCACCTGGGACATGCAGCTCTGGCTTTATCTTTCAGTATCATGTAGCCATATGTCATGTGCATATTTAAGACCCCAACAAGATTCTTGTTTTAAAACCGCTGGAAACACTAAAAAAATCAACTGCAGATTTAATTTTCAACCAACTCCCTGACTTAACGGTAGCTTAATTAGTTAGCTGGCTACAGTGGATTAAATCCACCAGCGGGAGTTGTCACTTCAGGGGGCAAAATCAATGGTTGCTGGCTAAACTTTAGAGGAAGAAGAAGAATATGAAGGCACCCAGCAGCAAATGTTTGCCCTGGGCCCCCCCTGACAGGCCATTGTTTTAGTACAACCCAAATGACAATTGGAGGTTGCCTGGTTTGTCCTGTTGCCAAGGCTCCCAGTTTGAGAAGCTGGGGTAGCAAAGACAATTGGAAGCCATTTGAGGCCATCTGTCGTCCTTGTACAGTGTGTGTCAGTGTGTACTGTGCTGAAAAACTATGTAAGTCATTGCAACAATGTCTTTGCACCAATGTCACAAAGATGAACTCCTCTGATTAGATTAGATGAAATTGGAGTGGTCCCTTTGGGGAAATTTGTGGCTGCAGACACAGATATGAACCTGAGAGAGAACTTAATGAATAAAGAAGCGATTATCACTAAAACACTGAGTGCCAAAAATAAATAAGTAGCGATATAAACATGTAAAATGCGCATTGTGAGGCATTGACGTGACTCAGATTCAGGCTTAACAGCCATGAATGTCATCCACTGCCTTTGCCAAGAGAAACACATACACTCAATCCTGTTATCCCTGTGTGTTGTGTTATAGTATCTGTGGGTGGCGTGTCCTATAAATTCATCAGTTCAGACATTATGCAGTTATGTAATGCCACAAACCAGTAAAGGCCTTAGGGATGTTGGCCAATAACTGGAGAACTCCCCTGTCTTAGTTTAGTTTGTGGTCACTTGTTCGGAGCAGCGATGCTTGAAAGCTTTGCAGAAGATCTGGTTCACTGCTTGCTCCTTAATAAAAGGCTAGAAGGCAGTGAGTGACCATGGTTTGATGCCTAGTTCTTCATTCATTTTAACTCTTTGATAGCGTTCTGTATGAAGGTAATAGCCTTAATCTCTCTCGGACGTTTTGATGGCGTACAAGAATCTGCCACTCAGTCAGTCAGTATTTTCCAGAGTGTAATGAACCAGCTCAGTTGAGGTGTATTTGTTGTTTTCATTTTGGTCTGTTGGATGTTAAATGAATCCACCGCATGTTTTAAAACCAGACCTCAAGCTGCACATGCTTTTAGTCAGAAGTCAATCTGCTGGATAAGACTCACAGACATGCTTTTTCTCTGCGCGTAAATCCCTAATGATCGCTGGCAACGTGGGCTGCAGCTGGCCTGGAAAGTGCAGATGTCTCAGAAAAGAGACTCTTATACCTAGTACAGAGCAACGTAGTGCCAACTCCAACTGCTTTACGGTGTTGTTGAGCTGCAGCAGAGCAGGGGCGAATCTGGAAAAATACTCATGGGGTGGAAAGAGGGGAAGCTTGGAGAGGCAGAAATATATGCTGACTTAATTGCAAATAATCACGTTTTTCAATATTTACTTGGAAAAGCCCCCAATGAAGTTATAAAAACATTATATTATGATGGCACATTATTAAAGCTTTGAATAGAAATATCTAAAGGTGGCATTAAATCATTAAATTGTTTTATTTTCCAAAGACAAGGCTTTTTCCCTGAACTGAAGCCGATCACTTGATCTAAAATATGGCAAGAACAGATAATTTAATTTCCATTTTTAACACATTATTTTTTTAAATTAATCTAAATTAATGTGTTAAATTGGACCGCATTGGACACAAAACAGAGATAGTCAGTTGGGGTGGCAGCTGACGTAGCCGGACATTTTTGTTACAGCTGCCACCCCATTACCACCCCTCTAGATCCGCCCCTGCATCAGAGTTCACTCTGAACTGTGTGAAAACTCGGCTGCCAACAATCAATAAATCACAGCCTCAGTTGCTCTAATATTCTGTAATGTTCATCGCTGTCTCCAAGACGATTTGAGCATTCGGTTGTTCTTCACATGGGTGTAGTTGCTGATCGAATGTTTTCACCACAGTGCTGCAGCGGACCACATAGGGGACCACTGCATGACATGCCCAGGTCGGCATGCAGGTCCCTGAGACTGATTACTCAGCTTTCTGGAGCTCTGCCAGGTGCGGCTCCACCCTCTGCAAGCCTTTGGCCCGAACATCCACAAGCAGCCAACTGACTATCTCTATTTTGTCAGCGATGCCGTCCTTGTGTTTGGTTGGCTGTGACCCTGAACAGAGATAAAAGCTCACTCTGCTCTGCTAACCTGTCGCATCCTTAATACTGAGTCTCAGCAGCAGGTCATTAAGTTGAACGTCCCTCCCAGCCATGCAGCATGTAGCCAGCACACTGGGTGCTAACACAAGAATTAGGACAGCAAAAATATAAAAGCTGGTTCCCTCAATAATAACTGCATGAAGTTACTCGGCCAGGCCAATAAATAGTCCGCTACACAACCTCCATGACATGACAAATTGACACTACTGGACTTAGTTTATCGTACACATTAGTTACACAATTTATGTGTTCATTAACGAGAGCTGCTGGTGGTTGCATTTTGTTAACCTCGGACAGAGGGAGGCGAGCTGTTGTCTCATATTTCAAGTCCTTAAGCTAACCAGCTGTTGACTTTGGCGTTGCACTTGAAGAGACACTCAACCAATTTTACTCACCAAGATCAGATTATTAGTGATGAGGAGCACTACGTTGTTCTGGAGGAGCTTTGTTAAGTTTTATAAAATGATCTCTACTGTTGTGTTCAAGGTTGTATAAGCACATGATTGGAAACTACAAGGTTTCAACAGAAAGCCTGTGTTACAAACTAGATGCAGACTTTATGATGTGGAAGTTTACCAGGCCGGGATGGTCTAACGTGTTGAGTTGCATTATGGGAAATGCAGCATCCAGCATTTTTTGGAGCTTTTGACTCTAGAGACAAAACGTTGGTGTATCTTGGTTCGTTCTTGTGAACACAATATATGAGGAAAGTCTTCATGGAATTTATTAAAATTTAAATTTTCTGAATTGGTCACACAGATCTTGGGTGTCCACCTTTAAGCTAACTGTACAGATCTTCTGTACTTGCTGGGTTGAAGATGTGTCTGAAAAGAATTTGTAACTTCTTTGCAGCAGCATCCATATTTGAAGTTCTATGAATGTTCTATCAGAATCAGCTTTATTGGCCAAGCATGTGAACACATACAAGGAATGTGACTCATGCTTCTCGCAATGAGCTTACACGCTAGTGGACAACAACAACGAAGCTCCACAATGTCAAGCCAAATCAGTTTTATTTATACTGTATATCCCTGTATGACAGAATCTGGGCTTCAGAATCTGTGCAGCAAACGACATCTTCTATTCTTAGACCCTCGAGTCAAATGAGAAATAAAGAAAGGGGATGGGTCCGTCGCCCAGGAACAGATGTCACTTGTACAGAGTAGACCAACATTTCATACAATTATGATGAGAAAATTGCAGGACCCAGGAAGACAATGAGCGACCCCAGGCGTCCCCAAACAGATCTGAACCACACGACCGCCACTCCACCATCGAGACCTGGAAGAGGACAGACCACAGAGACTCAAAGCTCAAGCACATCATTCACACAGGTAGTAAGAAAAGAGTGAGAAAGAGACAAAGATGGACAAAAGGAGAGAGAGAGGCAAGAGGAGAGGCCAAAGCTAGTGGAGAATTAAGATCCACATCCAAACATCTGGAATGTACATCTGTATGCATGAGGCGGTAATTCTAGTTCCGTCTCAACTGTATGGAAAGACAACACTAAAGCCTGCTAACCTAACCTAACCCTGCTGAGTACTGCATGAGAGTGGTCTTCTTATCTAACTCTTGGCAACAAAGCAAATAAGCTCATTTTGATTTATTCCTTAAATCTGAACAACAGCAGGTAAATAGAACGGATCAGGCCAGTAGGGGATCGGTGCCACAAGCTTACAGTGGTGCCTAATTAACCCGCATGTTTAATGAAACTGTGATATATTGTGTGTTTTTATTCATCTGGATTTTCCTTGAATTTCATCTCATGGGGGTTACACTTTGTTTTAAGCTTAAATGCATTTACTTTCCCACTCAGTATCAATTCTCAGGAGCTTAGTCTGCAGGAGATTCTTCTTTCAGATTGCTCCGGTATTGTTTAAATGTCAGGCTTTGTGAAGTGTGACCGGTGGTGTGTTACAGAGAGCGAGGGGTGTCATCTGTTACCAGGTTACCATTCTGCATCTGACAGCGGAAGCACTGAGAATTATATTATTTTTAATAACAGTTCATTAGGTATTCTGAAAATATTACGTGTCTGTATTCCTGTTTTTTCACATCGGTGTCTCGCCCTGCAGACACGGTGGCTCAGCTGATTCCTGATGCAGATTCGCCTCTCCACGAGCGCGTGCAGCAGTACCGTCAGCTACTGGACGGTCTGCCCATGGACGCTTACACACACGGATGCATCCTCCACCCAGAGCTCACCACAGACTCTATGATCCCAAAGTACGCCACCGCAGAAATACGTAGTAAGTGAAGCCAGCTCGCCTTATTGTGTAGGCATGATTGTTTATAACTGCATTAATTACAACAAGAACACTTTGAAGTATGTATGTATGAATGTATATATTCCACTGTATACTGTAATAAAATAAATAAAACCAGTAATAAATCCAGTTATATAAGATTTTACAAAATTACAGTAAAATTAAAAAAAGGGTTTTCTGGCCAATCAAAGTATGTTTTAGTAGAATTCAAATGTAAAGAAAAAGAAAAAGTTCAACATTTTGGGACATCCCAGTCTTACACTTTAGTTTTTTTAACAGATTAAACAAGATACGACTTGAGCTTTATAGGTGGTGAAATGTGGTTTTTCCTGTTTCCAGTCTTTATATTAAACTAAGCTAACCGGCTGCTGGCTATAGCTTCATATTTACAGAACACACGTGAATCTTTTCTTACTCTAAAGAAAGCAACTTATCATATTTCCCAAAAGCCGTTGACCACAATTACTTTATAAAATGTTACTGACTCAGGCAGCCTCTAGGGTTTTAAGACCCTGTTACAAACACCTCTGTAATACCTCTGCCCTGTGATCTCAAACAAGGCACAGCGAGACCATAAAGAAACAAATATAAGTAGCTTTCCATGAGGTGCCAAATCAAACAGCTTTTAAGCTTTCGCAGTTACTGAGAGTTTATCCGTCACAAACCATTGCTCCTAGAAAGACCCACACTATAAAGACAGATGATTGTCCACAGAGTCAGACCTCTGCAGAAACAGACTGGACTACAAATCCTAGCCACCAGATCCACTCAAGTGTGTATAACACACACACACAAATGCACACCGTGTTCACAGAATCACCTCGTATTGTGCATCGATGCAGCTTGATTTCATGTGACGGCGTGTTCTGCTGCATTTCACAATGCATGTTCACACACGCCTAATATTCTGAGCGGATGCATGTGTGTCTGCAGGTCTGTGTGATGTGTTAGCAATATGCTTAACCTGTTAGCATATCAGACAGTTTATTCAGAAGTAGATTGTAGATTGACAAGATAAAAAGTTGATGCTATTTTTGTTTTTTGTGTATTTCTACTTTTGGATGCATATTATAAATAGATTTGAGTGTTTTGAACTCACTAATCTGAACATTTACAAGCTCTGGAGGTTGAATCAGCTTCAACTTTGGGACCAACTAGTCTCCCAAAGCAGAGACAACAGACAGGCATTATGAATGCAAATCTATTCATCTTCCTTGCACCATTTCCCACATCATCGGCAAACAAATCCCTGTTTTTATGTGCACAGCGTGATTAGCATACTGTGTAATTTGACGCTACTCAATACCAAAAATCCCTTAGTGCAGCACACTGTAGTGATGCCAGGTTTATACATCCAAACAGCTGATATCAGGCCTCCTGGTCTGGACTGTTTGTGCTCTTCAGCCTGATTAAAGCATCACTGGTGTTTGTGTGTAATTATCCACTTATGTTGTTTTTTATGTACATTTTTTTTTCACTCTGGGTATTCAAAACAGTCTGAGTCTGAGTCTGGGTCAAATTTGAAACTAATTATGTTCCACACTGAAATGTTTTTATAGTTCTGGGTTCATCTTTTAGTATTCTGTTTATTTCTTTAGATTCATGTGAATATATATATATTAAAAAAAAGTAATTCATTTTTGCTGTGCAGTGACAATAAATAGAGATGATAAATAATAAAATGAAAAATTTAAAATATATATGGATGGATTTTGTCTATAAAAGTATGAGACTAAAGGCTAATTAATTTCCTAGAACAACTGGACACTATAGTTTTTAGCAAACTTTACTTCAACGGGAGAATATAGTGCAGGACACGTGCATTGGCTGGGCACTCATTTCAGTGGCGGATTAATACACATAGTTGCTCTAGTGAGTATTTAAAGCAGCAGGACGATGTATGTGCTTCATCACAATGAAGGAATATTTCAGCCAGTGCAACAATGTGGTTCACTGATGTGTTTTTTAATAGTTTTTGAACAACATTGGAGCTCTGAGGCACAGAGGAAGCAGATATATACATCAGGACAATCAGCTGACAACACAAGTGTCTCCTGCTGCACTCAAGCGACTCTGAAGGGAGACCAGATAAGAATAAAGCTCTATGGACAGTCAGATAACTCCTCGGAGGATTAAACACACCGATACCGAAAGTGTGCAAAATAGGACAGAAACACTGTTGTTTAAAAATGTAGTAAATGTCTAAGAATATATAATAATATCTGCAGTTTAAGACTAGTTTGCCTACTGACTATATGCACGTATCTCCTAAGCAACATGATCTATAAGTCAGTGTGGATTTCATTCAAGACACTATGTCTGTGTCCTTTGTGTGTGTGTGTGTGTGTGTCCTTTGTGTGTGTGTGTGTGTGTGTCTTCAGGACATCTGGCCAATGCTGCGACAGAGCTGATGAAGTTGGATCATGAGGAGCCTCAGCTGACAGAACCGTACCTGTCCAAGCAGAAGAAGCTCATGGTGAGTTTACCTGTACAGTTATTCATGAATTACACTTTTATCTTAATTTATGCATTACTTATGATGGAATAAAGGGATTTGAATGGGATTTAAGGAGAAGATTAATGGATAAATAAATGGACTGTGATAATTAAGGTATTTTTAATGGATTAGTTTGAGAATTTAAGGCCTTTTTAAGGGATAAAATTTGCCAAATAACATAAAACCAACCCATAATTTATACTTTAAAGGCGATGTTTCAATTTAGGGGAAAATTCAGGGAACTCTAAGGGATTTACCACTTAAAAATCCTTTAATCTACACAGAAAACCATTCAAAACACCTTAATATATTACAGTCCATCAATAAAACCATTAATTACACCCGAATGTGGGATGAATAGCTAAAATAGCAAAAATGTAAGTCCTTTTAAGGCACAAGTCAAGACAAACCTGCAGTATTGTTTTTATAAATATCCTTAATATTTAACAGTCTATTACTGTAACCCAAACCAGGACTTATATATCATTAATCTGCACCTGGAGATATTCCAGACCCATGAACTGTAAGCTGGAGCACAGAAATATAATAGAGAGACATTATTTTGACAGCTCTGTGATAAACAGACCCTACCACAAGTTAAACTGGGGTTTATTAGGGTTCAACACTCTGACAGATATTATTTCATTTTCCAAATTGTCTTGACCACATAATTGAATTTCCAGCTCTGTAGCTGAGGGAAATTTCATCATGACCAGCCTTCAGCGGTTTCCTCTCATTACGCTACTCTGTACGTTTGACCTAAATACAGTTCATATTCCCTGGAGAAAGTGTCCAGGTGTACTGACGCCGTTTGCATCTGTTACAAAGACATATTTGACCATTTTACATCCTGCTAATAGCGGCAAATGTGAACACCCTGCACATGATGACGGGCTGAAAAAACACCAAGTAGACAGCAACGGCTGTTCCACCGGCGTTATGAAAATATGAGGTTTTGAATCGATGAGACATGAGTGTGTGTCATGTCAGCCTGTTTGTTTAGCCACACTAGCAAGGTGGCGCTAGGAATGACAGTGTGTTGATTGGTCGGTTGGTCTTATCTTCCCCTCAGATCGCCTGTCGGGTTCTACCAGTGCCTTCAAATACTGCCACTAATTTGTCTAATACTTTATTAACATTCACATTAGTCTGAGCTGTATTTTGTGTTTAGTGCTAATTAGAAAATAAAATGGCCCAGTTCTAATGTCTCCCCCTTACACACTCACAGATTATGTTGTGTGTTGTGTGGTAGGTCTGCGAGGCCTCAGGAGTGTCTCTACTGTGAAATCAACAAAATGTTTGAAACCGCTCTGACGTTTTGAGCCCTTTTGCACACTTTCCATAAGTCTTTGCGTAAGGGAAAAACCCACAATGCCGACAGTGTTGTGTGAACTTAAAACGACAGTGCACATGGAAGGAGTCGGCAGAAAGATATTTATTTTTAATTACATACAGACATATTGTTAACCTGGACTTTGTATGTGCAGTTGTTTGTCTTATGATGATAAAACTAAGCTACATCGTTCATTAAAGTCTGCGATGGTTCAGGACTTAGGGGGGATATTACAACTGGGCCCATGTTAAACATTACCTGCTAAACATGAGCGTGTTTGTATTGTGAGCACATTAGCACGCTGACGTTATTATTTAGCTTTAATGCAACTTACAGCCTTATAGAGCCACTAATGTGGCTGTAACACTTCAGTTATTCTCAACATTTACAATCTAACATGGGGCAAAATGACTTTACATGCAAGGACTGTCACTGGGAATGTAACGATATATCGCCAGCAGCAGTCATTACTAGTAATAATATTACAGTAAGGACAATACTTTACCCTTTAACTAGTAGTGTGACAAACTATTAATACATTTAAGTGATAATATTAGAGTTAGCCCCCAAAAAATAACAAGTTACAACATTCCTTTTATTGTCTCCCCCTACAAATTTGAAATCCAACAATCACATCCTTGGATTCATTTTTGTAATCGTGTAGGAAACTAGTTTGAAAGATGGAAACACTTATTCTCATTACTTTGATTTTACAAACAAAACTGTATTTTAATCTTGTCGCGATACAAATATGTAGGCGCTATGTACTTTTGACTTTGCTTGTCCGACGTTCTACGTCACTTACGTCAGTAGCTGTATCAAGACAAAAAGACAAGTTTCATTTTTACAAAGAAAAGAAAATATGGATTGTTTTGCACAGTTTATACCTTACGTTAGAAATATAATAATGAAAAAATAATTTCATAAAGAAAATATATTTTAAAGATTTTTGTCAGTAAATAAATTAATCTTTTTCAGTCATAATTTGTCTCCAATCTCATTTTGTTAAACCAAAAGTTGAGAAAATCTATCGCTTATCACTTTTCCTAAAGTGCTACAGTCCATATTTATCATCATTATTTTACTTTGTGATGATAAGAATTTATAACAATGCGTTCTGGTTTGCCTTTTATACTGCTAAAGTATTTATTTGTCTTTAAAATGATCGTCAGGCAAAAATCTTGGACCACGATAATGTGAATTACCTGAAGAAAATTCTGGGGGAGTTAGCCATGGTTCTAGATCAAGTGGAGGCTGAACTGGAAAAAAGAAAACTAGAGTATCAAGGTATGTCAAAACCGATATCATCTTCTATCATAACGGCACCAAAAACAAATATTTCCAAATAATGAAAAATGTCATTCCCTTGCAGGTCAGAAATGTGAGTTGTGGCTATGTGGACCTGAATTTACACTAGCTGATGTCTGCCTCGGAGCCTTGTTGCACAGGCTCAAGTTCTTGGGACTTTCTAAGAAATACTGGGAGGACGGCAGCCGACCCAACCTGCAGTCCTTTTTTGTGCGTGTGCAAAAACGCTACGCTTTCCGCAAGGTCTTGGGCGACATCCACACGACCCTTCTGTCGGCAGTCCTACCCAACGCCTTCCGGATGGTAAAAAAGAAGCCGCCGTCCTTCTTCGGGGCCTCTTTTCTCATGGGCTCGCTGGGAGGGATGGGCTACTTTGCCTACTGGTATTTAAAAAAGAAATACATGTAGTGAATGCCCTCTTGTTGTGTTAAATGTCTGTGTATTTGTGTGATGTTTCAACTTTTCTGTAATGTTTTATGACTGCAGGAAAACATAATGAATCTATATAGAGAACACTATTACTTATGGGTGAACAAAGAATATTAAAACATTCCATAATAAGAAATTCTTGACAGCACATTTTCTGGTAATCAAGGCCTTCATCGAGTTTAATTTGTGGTAACTCGCCGCTCTTGTGCCGACGAGTCCTTGTTTAACTTTTGTTGGAGGCATGCATCGGGTCCACTTATACTGAAAAAGTAGAGACCCAGAGAAAATGTTAAACACAGTAACACCGACAGGGGTTAACTGACCTTCGCATGCCACTATTATAGCCATTACTCATACCTGCTCTTCACTCCTCCATCAGCCTGAGGTTTAACCAGTAAAAACCACAGGAAAATGTACATGACAAATACTCTCTGATAAGTGCTGTGCTGCCAGAAACTGCCACATGAAATGATGAAAGGATGGAGGCAAACTTTAAGGGAATAGCTCGACATTTAGTTTATTCACTTTCATTCAGGAGAGGCGTTGAGATCGATACCACTCTCATGTGTGTCGGTAATATGAAGCTACAGCGAGGATATGAGCGTAAAAGACTGGAAACGGGGGTAAACAGCCAACATGGCACTGTCCAAAGATTAATAAATCTGCCTACCAGCACCTCTAATGCTTACTAATGAACCTGTTATATTTCATTTGTTTAATTTGTACCAAAAAAAGCATAAAAGTTAGTATTTGTAGATGCTGGTTGGCTGATTTTGTCACCTTTGGATGCAGCCAGACTAGCTGTTTCCAAGCCCCGGTTTATGCCTCTTATGTCTTCATTTTCAAGTCACAGCTTCCAATTTTAAGAAAAATATATACGTTACTCAGAAACCCAGAGGGTTGTTTAACAGTTACTGCTGTTCTGTAGGTCTGCATGCTAAATATGAAGCTCGATCTCGCAGCTGGTTAGCTTAGCTTAACTGGAAACAAGGGGAAACAGAAGGCCCTAGTTTCCCCCAAGTGTTTCCACAATGTCCAAATACTCTTTTAACCATCTGGATGAAAGAAATACGCCATCTGTTGAACAATAGAACACATTTTTAAGTTGTGACTGTAATCCAGGTAGCCAAAAAAGACTTGCTCTGTTTGTAAGTCACAAGCAGAGTGCATTATTTTGTATGAAAATATCAAATATTGGGAAGAAACATATACATATATTTTAATTTTTGGTTCACATTGTCCAAACTGAGGAAGGATATTCTGGCTACTATCTTTAATTGGATTTAAAAAGAGGTGATGGGTTTAAAAATGTGTTTTCACTGTGCAGCAAACATGGTTAAAAATAGTTAGAAGAGTCTTTGAGGATACAGGGAACAGCAATAAGTGTTATAAAATATAAATATATTTTCAGGAAAAGCAGATTGTTAGCAGTAATAAAGTAACAGTAACAGATGACAGGCATAAACTGGGGCCACCTGTCTCCAGTCTTTATGCTAAACTAAACTACCAGGCTGCTGACTGAGGCATCATATTTACAGACAGACACGAGAGTGATAATCGATCGTCTCGTCTGACTCTCTGCAACGAGTGCATTTCCCAAAATGTCGAGCTATTCTTTTAACTAACTGTACACCCTACACACACACACACACACACACACACACACACACACACACACACAGACACTCGTGAGCTCAGAGTTTATTTAGAGCACCACAGATCACTCAGCACACACTGGTCCACTGTCACTCTCTTTGTCGCTGAGTTCAGACGTTACAAATGTCGGGTGTTTGAAAAGTTACACTTGGCCGAACTTGTAGTAAAAACTGTAAATTCTGCGTCTATGGCACAATCGTGTTGCATTAGGTTTAGGATGTATATTTCATTGCATGGGTTCTTTATTATTGTGTAAGCGTTTTTTTCGTGACGGGTGGACACTGAGGATTTTTGTGTCGCCCAGAGGCAGAATTTATGATCACTACCTGAACATCAGAACCACAGATTCCTGGCTAACTGTAACCTTTGAAGCACCTTCACTGTACAGTGTGTTGGAGATGGTCCCTCAGCAATACTGAGCAAGAAGAATCACTGGATTTCACTGCGGCTCGTTTGTCGCCGACTCCTCCTGACAGATGCAAGATTGTTTTTACAGATAGATATTTTTAATTATACATTGTCTCGTTTATTTTACCATGCTGAATTTTTAATGAGCTCAAAGGTTAAATAAGGGGAACAGTGGAGGAGAAGCTGACTCATCTGAAGGCTTAAAGGTGTATGAAAAAGCCTTTTCCCTCCCGGCTAGCCTTGCCAGCTGTCTCGTTGTTTGTTGATGCAGTATACTTTTTCTCGCTCCCCACTCTGTTCCCCCTTAATGGGAGCCTTTCTGCTTTTTCTTAGTCAGACCTCAAGGGTTTAACATGTTTATAATTCTGCTCCTGAACCGTGCTTAACTCATTATGTGAGGTACAGGCTGGAGCTGTAAGCTGCTTTTTGGTTTTATGGCTGGTTATACAGACATTCTTGCGGAAAGGACTCACAGTTCAGTGTTTCTTTCTGCCATTAAGGAGAATAGCTATCAAACCTCAGATAATGAAGGTAATTTATGTGGGGGTTTTTTTTCTGTTCGGATGCTCCCTGTTTTCTCTGCAGGTGGTGATTAGCAGCACGCTGCAGCTGTGGCTGATTATGTTGAACCAAAGACGATGATCAATGCTCCTTTAATAGCAGCACCTCGTTGCTGCGTCACACCTGATAAAAAAATCTGATTTTCATTCAGAAATAATATGTGAGAAAGTGTAGAGGCTGTAGTTCATTGTGTCCAGTGTCATGTTTGATATGGAGAGTGCAATGAAGTCACAACTGTTTGGCAGCAAGGACGTGCACAAGGCTAAAGTCGAACCAATTTGCCCTCTTTGGCTGAGCTGCCACTTTTGGAGGAAGTTAAACCTAATTAAATTGCCATATCATCCAAACTTTAATTACTTTTTGACACGTTTGCATCGCACCATATAATATTTTGCAATATTACGCGATAACATGAACATATAAGCAAAGATCCTATAGCAAAACATTGTGCGATGTGATGCAAACGTGACAAACCGCACATTGTTCTGAAGCATATGTGCAGATTTTTATTCACAGGGAATCCCATTAATCATCTACGGGTTGCCCTTTTCTTCAGGTCAGAGCAAAAGCCCCTCGTATTGTCTGTGCACGTCCCTGCATTTAAGATGTGCATTAAAGGACACAAGGAGGTTTATTTGTTCTCAAACTGTCCTCGCATGAACAGCAGTGATGTAAATGGCACAAACCACAAGATTTACAAATATATACATCTGAATTATTCCAAGTTTTGAAGCAAGCCAGACGACACAAAAGGTGTAAAGTACGATTTCCTGTTGTGATTTAAATCATAAAATGTGCTTATTTATGTTGACTTTTCGATGCTGAAACATTCACTTATTTTATTCACTGACAAACAGCCGACGACAACGTCAAGAAACTTCATAACCAGCCGAATCATTGTGAACGCTTGGTACATTTTGATTACTGCGATCTTTTCCGACTCCACTGCTTCTTCTGACTGAAATCACGCTACCTGACGGGTTTGGATCTGTACTTCTGTACCGAACACACAAAGTCGAGAGAAAGTCGAGAAATCCTAGTTGTGATTTGTGGCCATTATATTTCACTATAGTATTTTTTTATTTTTTACTTTTTATTTTTTATATTTCTATATATGCATTTATTTATGGTGCTTTTTATGATGTTTGTTCATAAGCCTTAATTTATTCAGTTGCCATCAATGACAAATAAATAATGAAAATGGAATACACAGATCCTGGTTTTTATTTGATTTCACCAAAACCCACCATGTTCCCTTCACTCTAGAGAGAGATTGTGTGTTTGACATGTCAGTCATTTGATTTACAACATCGTTAATATCATTAAAAACACTGCTGTGATTTACATGAACCTACGTTTCCCAAATACCTCATTACAGGACAAGGCTGGCGTTACTCTATTGGCATCCTTATTGTCAACAAATCCCATGAAAAGACCAAAACCTTCAATGTTTGAATCCATCGTTTAATACTTAACTTCTGCGGCACTCAGGAGGACGAAATCTTTAACAACAATTAGAAACTTTCAGTTTTTAAAATAGAAATTATTTCCTATAGCAGCTCGGCACTGTAGAGTTAAACAAATAGAGCATTTGTTCGGGACTATTTTCACATCAGGACTCATACACATTTGGTAATCTAGTGAGTGAGTATTTATGGCAGCAGGAAGGTGTGTGTGTGTGTGTGTGTGTGTGTGTGTGTGTGTGTGTGTGTGTGTGTGTGTGTGTGTGTGTGTGTGTGTGTGTGTGTGTGCGCGTGCGTGCAACTCTGTGGCACAGATGAAGAGATATCAGACTTTGGCAATATTTATAATACAGTACTAGTTAGTGGGTTAAATTCAGTTTTGGTCATTTCATGTTGGTGTTGACATTAAATAAAATTACAACTAAAACAATTAGTTGATTAATGGATTATTCCATCATCAGAAACTGAATGTTGCTTGTTTACAAGTTTTCAATAGTGAAGATTTGTTTTGCTTTTCTTTGCTTTATGTGATAGTAAATTTAATATCTTTGGGTTTTGGATTGTTGCTCAGACAAAACAAGACACCTGAAGATAACCTGTGGTGAACATTCACTGTTTAAAATAATAATCAGATTATCTATAACGGAAATAATTGTCAATATTTCCAGCTTTAACCTTTACAACATATTAATTATATCAATAATTTGCACCTGCAGGGTTGGCTTACAATTACAGTCTACGTATCATGACACATCAAAATTATCTTTACATCTGCTATTCAAGCTCAACATCCTCTGAGCAAACTTAACACAAACTGTTGTCACACTAACCCAAAAACCATGTGATACAAATTAGACAGCTCATTGAAATAAAATGTGTCTGATCAGACTTTGTTCTGTAGGTAGTTTCCTATTAAAAAGAACAAAAATAAACAGCTACTAAACATTAGTTGGTCTCCAAAAAACACACACGTCATCAGTGCTACACAACTGGAGCTGTAAACATTCTCAAAGTGTTCCCACTCAGACGTCTAAGAACTGCGATTACTCTGAGTAAAGCACTGTAAGGCAACAAACTGGGAGACAATAGTGTAGCACTGCGGGCTGCTGAGCCTGAAGGTGAGAGGCTGGAAGCTGGGCGGCAGAGCAGCGTCTTGCTTTTATCTCAGATTACCAAGAGTCATTTTGGGAACAGCAGCTGCCGACCGACCACGAAGGAACTGCGAGCCAGTCGTCCTGTACAAACCGTCCTTTCTGTGAGGAGGGAATAACTTAAAATTGCTTAAAATAGCATTGCCAGCTTGGACCCGAGGACAGATAACATCAACTGTACGGAGGATGGCTACGACATTGGCAACGGTTGTACAGGAAGGTATGACTGCAGCTTAGGCGTGCTGTTTCTGTTCTTTTGGGTGGCGGTGAGGGGGGAGTCCTGGCGACAAAGGTTTTAGATACCAAACACGATATGTCAGATGCCACCCCAGCAGGGCGCATACGGTCCCCAGCAACTTGTGAGACGGGTCATGGAAGTAAACAGAGGTGCAGGCGAACATCCACACCCAAATGATCACTATCAGATTCAAGGCCACGTAGAGCAGGTTGAGGACCAGCTTGGGCAGCGGCGAGACACTGGCGGTCTTCAGGGACGCCATGGGAGCCGTTTCCTCCACGATGAAGAGAGCGGAGTAGGCCAGGATGAAGGAGTGTCCCGAGATGTCGTAGCCGTTCCAGCGGAAGCCCGCCTGCCTGCAGCTGACTTTGGTTGTGAACTCCTTCTTGAGAACGTCCATGGCGTCGGTTTCAAAACACGAGCCGGTCGCGTCCTCGATGTAGAAGAAGGTCTCGGTGCAGACGTACCAGACGGCCGTGGCCACCGCCAGAGACAGCAGCCGCCGGCCGAGGAAGTACGCGCTTCTGCTGAAGGAGGAGTTGGAGAGGAGGAGGAAGGGCGTCAGCAGCAGCAGCGTCCACCCCCACGACACTTTGACAAAATACCTGCAGGAAGAACAGAGCATTCACTTTATTAGAGCTTCTCTGAGACCACATGTATCAGCTCTTCTGCTCCCTGAAACCTCCTTATTGACGGTATCTTTTGGTTTTTCTCAGCGAACAAACAAGTTTCCGCTCAGGGTATCAATAAAGTGATTTACATATAAGGGGCTGCAGCTACTGATTATTCTCAATAGTGATTCATCAGCTGAATTATTTCTTGACTGATACATTTTAGCTCTAAAACGTGAAGGAAATAGTGAAAAATGCCTCCGACAGCTCCAAGTTGACGTCGTGTGTGTTGTTTTCTTTGACCAACAGTCCAAAAACATTTAGTTTACCATCATGTAGACAAATAAAAGCATCAAACTGTCACATTAAAGGAGCTGGAACCAAAAAATAAAAATCTTTGGCTTTCTTACTCAAATCAAAATATAATTGTTGCAGCTCTAGTATACTGTGGGCAGTGCACAGGAACATTTAAACGTTTCTTTAAATTCCCATTAGAGCCAAAGAACTGAGCTTTAAACACATTTATGAACTGAAACTGGGAATTAGTGCAGAAATCCTGGTGATCACCTCAGAGCTTTAAAAAAAGGGTTTAAACATGCAACCACTGATCTCAGGTCTGCTACAGCTGGAAAATTCCCCAATCTGGATTTTGTGGAGAAGAATTAGATCGTGTTGGGTAAATACTGTAAGTATTTAAAAGGTTAAAGCGAGCCTGTTGTTCTTTTACAGCGTCTGTACTGTCTGTGCTGATGGAGTCGACCCGCAGACCAGCTACTCACACATTCAGCGCATTTCTGCTGCTGCTGAAGTACGTCTGCGGTACGAGCTGCAGCTCCTTCAGGATCGAACCCGCGACGGAAATCAGCAGAAATATCCAGTGGAAGTTTTGCCGGACGGCCGGTATCCTCCAGAGTGTCACCAAGTTGTTCACAATGACATCCACCGCCGCCATGTTGACACCGCTGAGCAGGGAGACGCTCCGACGTCACCGCGGCTTCAACCAATGAGCGGCTCTCGAAACACCAGCCGGTGAATTCAGCTGCACACCGCCACCTAGTGTACGTCTGGTTTTAGGGTTGTTTTTTGTTGTTATTATTATAATTTTATATTATTATGATTTTATTTTATTACAGTGCAGGAGAGGAATGAAGTAAAACCAAAAAAAAGGCATTATTATTCAAAGAATATCAAGGAAAACATGGAAGTAACCAACAAAACAAACAAAAAAAACCACTTTATATACACAACACACACAGAGCAAGCATGAACAAATTCAGGAACAGACACTTCACGTACAAGCATTTGGTTTAGGTTTTGCTCACTAATACAAAGCAAAATACATACATATAAAAACTGTGATTATTAAAGTGCAGAAGAGGAAAGAAGTAAAACAATTCTTTAAATGTTTTAAATTGTTATTCAAGGAAAACAAGGAAGTATCAAGTTAACCAACAAAACAAAACAACACACACAAAGCAAGCAGTCGTACAAATGAGAAAGAGAACATAACTCCATAACTGTGGTATATGCCTATATTTGATTTAAAAAAGTTGTTGTATGTCAAATGTAATGTCAAAAGATAAAATAATAAAAACATAAATGTATCAGGGAGATGTCGTCTGCAATTCATGTATTTAAACACATTAAAACATTTATGTCGTCTATAGACAGCAGTGAGTATTTTCTACATAGAGGTGCAGATTAATCTCATCTGTGAGAATATATGACGTGTTACAGACTGAACAGATTACCAACTAACTAACTGCAGCAGTTACAGTTTAATATAATGGACCAGTGTCGTAGTGTTGTATTATTTAGGTAAAGAATCTGAATACTTCGTCCACCACTGAAAGAAAATCACATATCCAGCAGTCAGTATTAGGTTGGAACTAAGTAGAGGAGCAGATGTTTTAACTATTTAATTCAAACGTTTCACTTCCATTTGTTGCCTAAAGAAAAAGAAAAAGCTTATTTATTAAACTCTCTGTGCTCGCCCACCTTCCCACAAACTCTCTCCCTGTCCATGATACATTTACTACCACTGCAATAGGTCATACATCTTCTTCACCATCATTAATCTGAAGTATTCTTTGTCCTGGTTGTCCTTTTTGTTATTATTTTGGCTGAGATCTTATTTCCTTCCACAATAACTATAAAGCAGCATGAATGTTGGGAAAATGATTATTTCAAGATGTGGAGAGATTGTTGCATCTATAATTACACAATCGGATATCCATACTCCCAACTGACGTAAAATAGAGATCTAAAAAATGACCACGGAGGTCATATGTATGAAATAAAGACACAATGCAGTGTGAGAGCCTCGGCTACAGAGACAGACACACTCTTCTGTTCCTCTGGGTCATGTTTGCTCAGACGGAGCCTCGCAGTGTGGCATGTGGATGTAAGTCGGGGGGTCAAGGTGTCAGGTTTTATGGCTCATGCCGACTTCAATACAAGAGGCCAAATGCAACCACAATCACAGACACAATGTGGACAAATTGAAAAAGGTTGAATGTTGCAAATATTTGGGGATCTGGCTCGATTACAGGCAAGAAGAAACTGAATGATTCATGTTTCTTCTGCTGGTCAGTGGACTGTTGTTCAGACTATAATTATGTATTATGGTGATATTGTATCTATGCATGCCTCTCAGACCTTTATCACTCTTGACTCAACATTGAAAAGGTGCTATGGTCCTCTTTAACCAACAGATGGGAGATGCACAGTCCAGCCTATTCTCCTAGGCTTACAGTCTGTGTGTGTGTGATCCGACTCTTTGGCCACAGCAACAAATAAGAGACGCACCACAATAAAGTTTTAACAAAGAATATGTTTTTAAACAAAACTGAAGCAAATGAAGTAAATTAAAGCACCAATTAAGGATTATTAAGATGTAGGAGTGTAAGAAAATATCAACAAAGATAAAAGTATCGCAACATTTTAATTTATGATATCGTATTGATTCTCAAAAACAATATATCTTGTCTTTAAACTCCGAACCACTAAACAGCAGTGTTGTAAACTAAACTGAGGGCTATGATCATGGATGTTACATGGACTGTGATAAATAAAAAGTGCAGATCTCACTGTTCCTGTTGCATGAAATGTATTAAACATACTAAAATGCATTTAAAAATCACAATATATCACCTTGCTTACAGTCTCACAATATGTGGATGTCAGTACTGTCAGAGGTGTGTGTGGATGCTGTAAGGTGCAAATAAAGGCATCAAGATAAACTCAGGAGATACTAAACCAAAGAAACTGCCTGTAGGGAGAAGAAAGCCAGGCTTAAATAACCTGGGAGCACACCGGGGCCTTCAGGTGTTCCAGGTTACCTTAATGATCAGCTGCAGAGAAACAGGTGAATCACACAGCACATGAGATGACCCAACAGGGGTCGTCACAGTGATAGTGCAAGGGTTTCTATTTGATTGTGTGGGTGTTTTGGGGTTTTTGTTGCTGTGTGGTATGCTTGATGTACACTGGGTGAATTCTTCATTCAGTTTCTGCATTTTACTATTTATGTTGTTTATGTTATATAAATAAAGCCATTGGCCTATACATTATAAAGCTTAACTGGAATTATCAGGCTCACGTTTATCAATAAAATATAAAGAATTTATATAAAAAAAGATAAATAAATAGATAATAATAATCCAATTTTAGATGGAAGGACATTTGTGGCATCTCAAGATAAATAAAAAAGAAAGGAATGAATATACTGCACTCGATGTTCTTTAAAATAAAATAAAATAAAATAAAAGTCTTTAAATAAATATAATATATAATATTAATAAATATGTCATAATGATAAATAAGTACACAATTCCTTTCAGCCTGCAGCTTCAACAAACCTTCCCCACATTTTCCAATATCACAGAACATTTAAACCTGTGCTGCATGTTCAAATTCCAAATATGTGTTCCTTAAAAATGAAAAATGTTTTACTTTAATATTGATATTCTGTGTATTTATGCTTGTTCTTAAGTTAATTGTGTGCACCCGTCTCTCTTAAAAAATAAATTATTAACCTCAACTATTAAATTAAAGATTTATATAAAACATGAAAAAATAAAAAAGAAGCACAAACGTTCAGTGGCTGTGTGTGAAATTCACTGATGACTCAGGGCACCAGCCGGCTCTTGCTGAGTCATTACGATTTTACTGGAGGAAAATAAATCTCTTCTTATAGCATCTGAATGCAGGACAATGTTTGTCCTTGATGCACTCTGACTTGGCAAACAAAACCTCTCCTAGAAATGCAATTTTCCAGGCACGCCTGGTATTTGGCTGATTGTTCTTCGAGCACCGATGCCAGACTACAAACTCAAAAAAGAATACATCTAAATGAAATGGTTGCATGTTATAGTTCAGACATTTCACCAAAGGAATTTAAAAGCACTTCGGATTTCTGTGGTTAGAGTAAAAAAAAAGTCTTTACAAAACATCTGATGCATATAAAATATTGAAAGTGGTTCACAATTTGCCTCCATTGCTGCGAGACTGCAGATACCCCAATGTGAACATGCTAAATCCAAACACTGAAGGGACTCTCTTTGAGAATGAAAATCTCAAGCAAATATGAGAAAGAGGGTGAAAGCTTAGGAACTCTCCTGCAGACAGTTTGGCTGGTTGATCAAAAAAAGCTGAGACTTTGCTGTGCAGAGTGGAAAATGAGAAGCTGCCAGTTGACCGTGCTGTTCGCTGTCTTTACCTGCCTGCGGACGCTGCAGGAAAATAGTGTTTGTTGGGATATTTTTAGATTTCCTTCAGTGACTGTCTGGTTAGAAGATTTTTAAATGTATATGTACTTCTCAGAGGATTATTTTAATGAATACATTTTGACAGATTTAATAGAAACACATGAATCCACATTTTTAAACCTGCATTAATTCATAGTTTTAATGTAACATTTCCAGCAGGCACGGCCCTACATTAGCATTTGTAGACGTGTTTCTGATCACACGATGAAGAATGTAAGTCTAATATTCGTTCTCCTCCATCTCCAGAGGGAAATATCCGTCTCTTTAGCTGCTAAATGCTCTTATTTGGTGCTGGGCAGTTTGTGTAAAGTCGGTTTATCAGAGCTTTTTTTGCGGAAATCGGCTTCCTGCTGCAGTTTGAAAGCACTGAATGAGTGGTAAAAGTAAATCAGAACAGTAACAAAACAATGAGCTGAAAGATGCTAAAATGCTCTGTAAAGCTTAGAGGAACCAGCAATGTGTGCATGTGAGTCCCCTCCCTGTGACATTGTTGGCTTTGAGGAGTGTTGGAACACTGGAAAGACTAACAATGACGGTTCCTGTCTAGTTATAATCTGTAAGGTAAAATGGATTTTGTCAGTGGAGTCAGGTTACGGCTGTTTATGGTTTAACAAAAGGTCAACTCTTAGAATAACCTGAGCCTGTCAGTGGCAAAAACAAACACTTTTAGTGGACGTACTTTGTCCTCATGAATCACGTTGCCACCATTTCAGCCCATTTTGCAAATATTTTTACATCTGATTGTTGCAATAGTGAAATATTAAGATGGTTTTGGTGAGTTTTATTTGGTTTCTGTCCACTTATAAGTGTGTTTTATGATTATCTGTGAAATAAAATTACTGAGTCTAGTAGGTTGTTTTGGCCTGATTGCTCTAGTGCAACATCTAGTGGCAGTGAATTTCAAAAATCTAATCTCTAAAGCATGAATCTTGTCCATATGTCTGTGACACTGCATTGAGAAAAGCATTTAGTTTCACCCACAGCTGACAGGTTTTTATCGATTGCTTAACAATAAGCACTTTCATTACTTTGAGCACCGATTCAAAGGGCTGTAATTCAGGTGTAAGTGCTGGAGTTTTGTGGTTGCTGTTACACTGTGGGAGGCACCAGCTGTGCTGTTACTCAGACGCCACTGAATGGCCTGGCTGACACCTGAAAAGCTGTGGCTCAGGCCCCTCAAATACAGTTGGTACAAGATTTGTTCTGTGTTCCCTCTCGGGTAAATACAGGAGGCCACTGAGTTCTCTTCTTCACCTTTCAGACACGACAAGGTCACAGTCAGCTTTTGTATGCGAGCGCCCTGCAGCGTCTCAAACCAGACAGATGATGTCATGCTGCAGGGGGCGAAGGAGGGTCTCTGGGAGAAACCGTCTGGTCTGGTCTGGCCAGAGAATCACCTAGTTATGACCCACTTCAGCAGCAGAAGTTTTTTTACTCAGATTTCCTGACTCATTCCTGCAGAAATATCCACTGATGCACCACCTGGAAGCTGCTTTATGTTTTAGTGTTTTCAACAGGAAATTAAATGATTGATCTGAAGAAAAAGAGACTGAAGATGTGAATTATCACACAGCTCTTCCACTCACTATTAATACAAACATGCCATGTGCTTGTTGCAATGACACCTTGTGATGGCATTTACCCAGAAACACAGGGTCATGTGACCTAATGGTCCAATCAAACGGGATCGAATGCGGCTCCATGGACGGCGCTTATACAGCACCTTTCTAGTCTTCCAACCACTCAAAGCACTTTACACTGTATGTCACACACAAATGCACCGATGGCACAGCATCAGGAGCAAGTAGGGGTTCAGTATCTTCCCCAAGACCACTTCAACATCCAGCAGGAAGAGCCGGGGAAAGAACCGACAACCTTCTGATTAGCAGGCGGTTCACCGTATGACCTAAGCCACAGCCAGCCCTGCAACTATGGGATGGATTGCCATGAGATTTGGTGCCCACCTGTCTTTTCCTGTCACGCCACCAGCAGGTCAGACTTTTCACGTACATCAACTAGATCGATGAGCACAAAATGTTGTTCAGACATTCACGGTTTCCAGATCTTAACAATCCCCTGACCTTTACTCTCATGCCACTGTGAGGTTCATATTCGTGGATTTGTCTTATATTTTATACCTACCCAACAAATGCTATTCCCATCATTCTCAGCTGAAATGAGCTCTGAGTTGAAAGTTTATGCCAAAGTGCAATTTTCTCTTTTTAAATGTCTCACATTTCCACTTCCTCTCTATGTCAGTGGGAAGCAGTTTAATCACTGAGTAAATTCACTTTCTGGCTGCAACATTTGACCTTTTCCTTTCCATCAGGTTTTCATTTTATCCAGCAGGAATTTTCAAAAACATTTAATCCACAAGGGAAGCGCTCCTCAGTCACACTCGCTCCAGCATCTGTCACTCTGTCTGCTCACCTTCACCAGTTTGATGGATCTGATTTATATTGCTGCTTAACATTTCTCCCGTCTTTGACATGCCATGATAGAAATATTAACTATGTGACAGAACTGACAAGCATGTGGCCATTGATACATTTCAATGTCTGATCCTACAAGTACAAGGGTTCCCTTTCCAGCCAGCACCAAAGATATGCCTCTAAAGATACAAAATAAAAGAATAAAAGAATACATGCAACTCTTAATAATAAAAAATGGCCCAGATATAGAAACAGAGACAGAGTAAAGAAGCACTTTCTGTTGATAGTCAGCTGTGGAGAGTGAGGTTGTCCTTCAGGGTGAGTGGAAAAGCAAACCGGTCAAGCTCAAAGACCAACAACAAGAAGTGACCCCGTGAACCTGAAGTGTTGTTGACCTTTATGTGCCAGAGGCCCTTCTCAGCCTCTTTGACGGAGCCATCTGTGCATTTTAGACACAAAGTCACAAAGTCTGACAGCACTCTGCTGAGCCTGTGTGGAAGTTTGCTGCGAGCCTTTGAAGGGTCGACTTCAGAGAGCTTACCTGAGTGATCAGGTGACACACAAAAAAAACCCTTCAGAGTGATGCTGTGTTTATTCAGGTTGATTCCACCATGTTTCCTTCTTCAGTCCGTCCAGGATTGTGCAGGCTTTTTTTTTTGGAGATTGTTGCGGTTTGAAATGGCTGATTTCATGGCAGCTTTTGTAAAATATTGCGATGCATGTTGTGATGTTTTCATGAAATTGTTGAAAAAAGTGGAAAATTACAAAAATAGTTGCTTTTTTTTCATTCAAATTAATTTGAAATTGTAAATAATAATTAAAATTAATATTAGTTACATTACATTTTATGCAGGTTCTTTGAACAATCATGATATTTTGTTTACTATTCTTACACAATATGTCCAGTTTCTGCTGACAACAATTGTCTCTCTATTAAATTAAATGTATATTTTTTCTTCTTGAACCAACTTCATGATCTGGTCTGTCTGACAGCAATGAGACAAGATGACAGTGGAGACTGTGAATCAGTCATATCACATTATATGTTAATGACGCTCATAATTGTCACGTGAGGAAAAATGCTGAATCTTTTCTATTTGAGGTTTCAAGCAGAACATTGCAACCATGTTAAACCAACATGGATCGAGTTCCTCGTCCATAAACTGGTGAACTGGGACTCACTGGAAAAGTTAAAGAGTTCATTTCATTCAGTACGCACGCAGCTTTTAATAAACTGAGATTTCTCACAGTCCATGACATTTCTAATTATCTCACACACTCTGCAGAAGTTTGGGTGGGCGTTAGCTGGATAGGAACATATAGTCCAGTGCATATAAGCTTAATTTCATAATGGCACCAGATTTCATTTGATCTTGTGTCCCAGCTTTCATTTCATGTCCCTGTGTTTCTCCCTGTGTCTGAGCTCTGGTCTCAGTGATCTCTTTGACCCCAGTAACTGCAGAGCCAGGTGGTTGCAGTGTACCTTGGCAGTGTCCTCAGTCTCTTGTTATAGTATATTAAACATGACAGAGGATATGTGGTCCTTCCTGGAACCAGTAACAGCTGGAGATGAACGCTGACTCTGCAGCCCACTTTTCTCCCTTTTTTTTTGTTTGATATGGATTCAGTCCTTCCCCAAGGCGTGCTTATTTAAACATTTTATTGTGTCTTATTGAAACAACGCAGGGACGTCAGGGGGCAACCAAAACATGTGCTCTTGTAAGGCAGCCTCAATCTCTCAAATAAAAGGTTCAAATATTGTGTTTTAATTTGAGATAAAGACAATGCTTTATTTTTAATTGCCATATTTAGCATCATTAGCAGTACACATGTTTAAAAATGGTCTATAACACATTATAATGTAGTTATAACCAGCAAATAAAGGTCTTGGTAAGTGTTTATTATGTATTTGTTTAACTGAATAATTTGTAAAATACATTTTAATTCATTAATATTAAAAATACTGCATATTAATAAACAATTAAAATATTAATAAAGTGCTTAAAAATGATAAATGGGACGACATTAAAGTAAAGTGTGAAATCAGACATGAGGTTCAACCTATGAACAATGACTGTGGCAAGTGAAATATTTCATGATTGCGATGTCCTGAAAGGCAATTTCCTGTGGTTGTGATTTTCTCTTCAGTAGAGACAGACTGTAAGTTTAGGAAGGAGGAAGAAGAAGTGGAAGAAGAAACGTATACAGGAGGGTTTTGTGCGTCAGAAATCCTCTCGGCTAAGTTCAAATTCTCTGCCACACATGACAAACGGACTTGTTTGCAAAGGCTCGTGCTGAAGTGAGGGTCTCCTCTGCGTCTCTCTGCTGCTCTGTGAAAGGATCCACTGATGAAGGTTTGAGACTCAACTTTTACCACATTTTATGTGACAGATGTTTTCTCTGTGTAGACGCCGGGTTGCTGAAAGATTTGACAGATTATTACTGATTGATTCATTACGCCTGTTGAAGGTTCTTTAGGAGACTGCATGTTAAGTTCTCCTCAGGAGTTTTGCTGCCTCAGTGAACTTCAGTGAATCTCACCTTGGACATTTTCTTTATGCTAAATTGTTTGAAAGCAGTGGACAATTACTAAAGTATGAAGACTTATGCAAAAACTCTATTTCAGTATTAATAACACAACTACCAGTTTGCATCTTTTATCTCAAACTAATTAATATAACTCCTTTTTGACCCCCTACCACATATCACACACTCTCTCAGTTATAAGTATGATCATTTTTCACATAAAAAAAAAGATGAATGTTTCTGGTGAATCGGATGAGGAGCTAAAGTGGGCATAATGTTGCATTTTGGGGTTGGAGGCAGAGATACATGTGTTTGTGCCATAAAAGAGTTAGATTAATTACATTATGTGCCATCTTTAAATCAAGTTAACTAGCTGTAAAAAATACAACCATGCATGAATCTTTTCAGTTTAATAAAGTGTAAAATATAATTGATGACTTAAGGATAGATTTTACTTTAAATTTATTCCTTAATGTGACCTAATTAATATTCATAATAACAGCTTCCCTCGGTTCTGTGAAACGCTTTAGCTCTTTCAGCTCATTGTTTTGGTTTTATGGAACTCAGTTTTACTGTTTTTGGTTCACTCTCATCGGCGTCATCTCCAGCCACCGCAGCAGCAGGCGGCTGTTTTCAGGGAAAAGGCACAACAAAAACCCCAAATACACAACCATTCCAGCACCAGGCGTCAGACAGACACAGTTAGCGAGTAGCTGGTGAACATAGTGGAGAGTTTAAGAAAAGGAAACTGAGCTAAAAGGAGAGTGAATATTGGATTTACATTTGATTTCTTATTTGCAAAGTTGTGCAACTTGTTTAGATGTATGATGTATAACAATGACCTTCTGTTACCTCATAGGCAGTAGTGGTGACAGTTAGATTTTATGGTCTAAACAGGGAACCTGATAGCGTGGTGAGTCTTTTTCCCGCCAGTGGCGAGGACAGTGAGCCTGACAGTAGGGTGAATAATCCTACACTCAGGTCTGAGAGGACCTAAGATTTGACGTACAAACTAATTATCAACTCAAACTCAGACACTCAAAAATGACTTTAATTATGTTCTCCCATCTGCTGCAATGTGACTTGACTGCTGTGTAGGTTAAATTAATTCATGTTGGATGAGTCACATCAAGTTAATGAACCTGTTATAATATTCTCCAGAAATCAGCACAGACTGTGTGTCAAACTCTTCACCGGTTTGAGGTTCTTATGATGTCTGATCCCAACATAAACTTGTCTCCTCCTCAGAGTTGTGCAGGGATGTGGTGCAGCTGCAGCCTCCTCCTCCACAGGGCTCAGATGGGTGCAGCCTGTGCTCAGCTCCTGTTGGCTGCCACCCTGTGGATGATGCCTCACATGGGAGCCGCTGCTGCCGCTGCTGTGCTGTCGAGCTCCACAGAGCTGCTCAATATGACCAGAGCTGGAGCGGAAACACAGTCTGACTTCAGGATGCTCACTGGAGCTGTCAGTGCTCCTCGCAGCAGGCGTAAACGAGCCATTTCATCCAGAGAGATCAACGCCCTGCTGGATTACCACAACCGAGTCCGCTCTCAGGTCTCCCCCCCCGCAGCTAATATGGAGTTCATGGTGAGGAAACTCTGGGTAGTGAATCAGACCAGGGACACATTGAAGTTTTTGGTTGGTTTATCTTTAAATAATAACTTTCTAGTGTCCTGGACACACCCCGCCCTCTTTAACAGCAACACATCTAACAATGTTATATTTCAGCTTTATAATTCATGATTTTAATTTAAGTCTCTAATTTAATGAGAGCTGCTTATAATTTACCTAACAACTTGTCTCAGAAGTCAGAATATTACACATTACTCTACGTATGTTTGGTGTCTCAGAGATCCCAGCTATAAAACCTGCTTGAATATGTTGGATTTTAATATCCTTTATATCTGTAATTGGTGTTAACAGTATTTTTTACACAGCACAACTCCTCCCAAATCCCAAATAAGACTATTTGGATTTTTGTTTTTGGATTTGTTTCAGTTTGTTCATAAGAGTCTTGGTTGTTTAACTGACCCTAAACATTAATAATATCACTATGTAGGATACTGTACATTTTTTTGTTTCTGAAAGAGAATATATATGTTTTTACGTATAGCTCATATAACATATAACATATTAAATATATTCTTATTTAGTGTAATTTTAATGCTTTATGGTAATTTACAGTTTTGACCTTCATCAAATGTACAAGGTTTGTGAAAACAGGAAGGGTTACCACTTAGATAATGTTCTACATAGTGAGTTTTAAATGTTAAAATACAAAAAGACAAAAACAAAATCTTTTGAAGATTATTTTCACCCATGAATTTAACCCCAAACAATGAGGAAATACAGCCAGACTCAAGTTGATCCCTCAATTGTTTATAATATATTCTGCATCCAAACAATCTGAAGGAGAACAAGTGACACAAAACAACATTTTCTTGCTTATTTTGTAAATTTCTTACTGAACAGAGTGAAATGAACAACCCCTGCCCCTCTCTTTTTCTCTCTCTTTCATGGCTCTACAGCTCTGGGATGAGAGACTCTCGAAGTCAGCTGACTCTTGGGCGTCACGATGCATTTGGGATCACGGTCCGACACAAGCCATGAAATACATGGGCCAAAACCTGTCAGTCACTTCAGGAAGGTAGTGCAGAGCTCAATACAGAGAATCATCTCTCTTATGAACGCATTATGGTTTTAACAACAACACATATGGATGAGTGATTGGATACTTGTTGGATGTGACAGGTACCAGTCCATCACTGATCTGGTCAGGTCCTGGTACGATGAGAGACATCACTTCTCCTTCCCGAACAGATGCAGCGGGTCTGTGTGCTCTCACTACACACAGGTAGGTAGACTGAAGGAGTTCAGATGGATTTGTTCATTTTGTGCATTCAAAGACTCCACGTTCCCAATGAATTAAGTCTAAACTCACAGTTTTGCTGCTGTAACTATGATACAATATAATGATAACAAGGGCTAAATAAACCCTCTCTCCATTTATATACTGTAAATATGGACAGATGAGTTCATAAGTGCGTTTCTGCACTGAACTGAACACTGAAGACCATCAGTGTTTGTTGACTCCCTAAAAAAATCCCCTAATGTCGTTCTTATTTAGGGAGTGTATGAAAATTAGTAGAGTGGGGGAGGGGTCAGAAAAGGTGGCGGTTATGTATTATTTAAATTCTTGCTGAAGGGAGGATGGTTTGTGAGGGCTCAACCTCATCCCAGATTTGGTCACACCTCAGATCTGCAAAAAAAATTGGGTTACTTATGAGTGGATTAAAATAAATGTAGGCCAGGGGCGTAAAGTAGGGGGCCAGTTCCCGACTTCCTACCCCCATAATTACAGCGCCCATTCTCGGATCACACCCATTTTATAACTCGGCCTTTGTTTTGATTTCAACTACACACCTGTAAAGTTTTGTGACTGCATCTTGCACAGTTGAAAAAATCTGTCCACAGACATGTAAACACCTGGCTAAGTACCCAACATGCTTCTGTGGTACACACAGACTCACAAGTGGGAAAACAACAACATCCCCACACTGTTGTGACGGATAATAACCGTGGGGAAGAATGTGTGTTTTATAGATGAATTTAAGATTCAGACCCCTAACCCCACCAAAATAATTTTTATTTAGTCTAAATTATTAAATTTGCTGTATTTTGAGAACATAAGACACAATTAAGTAACTGTTTCAATGTGCTTTTTGTAAGTGGACATATGAATGGTGTCAATTAATGGATATGAACATCATAGTGTGCTTTGTGTTTCCTCCCAGATGGTGTGGGCGAGCACCAACAAAGTGGGATGTGCTGTCAGGAAGTGCTCTAATATGATTGTGTTCGGGAGCACCTGGAGGGAGGCAACACTGCTGGTGTGCAACTACTCTATAAAGTAAGAAGGGGGCAACTGCTCAATTTTCCATTAATCCAATCTTTGACCTTAGTGTCTACAAGTGCAGGTATTTGTTTCTCTGATCGAACATTTCGAACTGCATAACACAGGACTACTCACAAAAAGTAGGGTTTTTTGTCTTTACTGATCATCGACTATTTAAGAAGAGAAAACATGGTAACATTGTGGTTTTAAAACACAGCAGAGACATTATCATCAGAAAAGTAAAATGTATATAAATCTGTAAATTCTATATTTTTCTTGTAGACAAATCCAATGAAAAGACGAAAAACAACAATGAATTGAGTTAAAAACAAGTATAGGTATATATATTATTGATATATTTATTATTTTAAAAACATGTCACTGAGCCACACTTCTGCACAGAAGATGTTAATTAAATTAATGAAAATGAAAATAGTCCCCAATAAATGCACTATTTACTCCTGTTTGGGTTACATTTGCTAAAAAACTACAGTGCCCAGCTGTTTTAGGAAATAATTGAGCCTTTTTAAAGAATAAAAGAGTGTTTTAGTGACCCGTAGAAGTGCCACAGTCAGTGTAGGAAAGTATTGAGAGATGGACTAACACATTGTTGGTTTTGGTCTATTCATGGAAAATCCTTTGAGAGGTATTGGTCCAAATACATAAAAAAAAATAATAAATGCAGACAATGCTTTATTGCTGACATAATGTTTATTTGTGTTTCAGAGGAAACTGGGTGGGAGAGGCTCCCTATAAGAGCGGGAAGCCTTGTTCTGTCTGTCCGTCCAGCTACGGCGGCTCCTGCTGGAGAAACCAGTGCTCACCAAACACAAAACCCAAAAGACGTACAAGATATTAACTCAGTTTTTAATTGTGTTTTAATGGAAGTGAAAGAAAGACATAATTCATGTAAAGTTTTAACCAACGGGGCTGCAAAATAAGACAGTTATGGCAAAACATAAAGTGACGCAGCTGTTCAGTTACCACTATGTTCAAGTAAATCTTTATTAATGAATGTTTCACACACAAGTGAGTTGATGTAGTGGTATGAATGTTTATATCTTTATTGCTGTCAGTCATCCACAGGCCACAAAAAGCTAGTTACAAGAACAGAAGTCTTTTATCGGGTGAAATAGTTGCCTGTTTTCCTTAAGAGTTTTTGCACTGTTATTGATGAATTTGTTCGTTTTGAATGACCTTTGAGAAGCATTCACCAAAAATTAAGCACTTTTTGTTCTACACATTATACTTGCTGTAACTTTGGATGTGTTATTGATTCTCTTTCTAATCAGGCTTTGTTCAGTGTGAAAAACCCTCAAGGTATTCCCACAGTAAACTGAAATGTGTTTGATTCATGATTGCAGGTTTGACTGATAATTAAGTTATAAATAACTGATGACGCTGTATATCCCTATAAATAATCTGCTGTTCACTGCTTGTGTTTATTCACTGCTGCTGCAGGAAATTTTCTGTCCTGCATTTCACCTCATTACATCTCTCGGTTCGCCCCTCAGGGACTCTCTCTGTCATAAAACAGGGGACTAATGCAGCTTTTATGGTCTAAAATACGAGGGAATAAGCTGTGCCTTCTAGCAAATTCATGAAAAAACACACACACACACACACACACACACACACACACACACGGCCAGTAACAGCAAACGTGTAAAAAGTATTTGATATGGAAACCTCTTCAAAAACTGTTTCTGTTTGAGTATAAAATGATCCCAGTCAGCATCCAGTTTGACTTCTGTAGGTAAGGAATTCCACATTTTGATCCCCCGGACAGAACAGGCTGTTTGTCCCAATACCTTATAACTCCTGTTGGTCGGTCCACAACGTCGCTGAGCACCTGGGCAGCCTGGTTCATGTAGGCATGTATAGATCAATTTAAGATGAGTAAATGTAATAAAATGATTAAAACTAATTACATTTCCTAAGAATAGCAGTAATGTGGTCTTATCGACTTTCTGTTGTTGCTCAATTGTATCTCATCATAAGGTTATTCACTGCTAGATGACACTACACCCATTAATCTTCAGATTTAACTCATTAGCTTCTTTAAAGTATTGGAAGAAAAGCAAAGTTTTATTAACACTAAGTTTTTTAAAACTATGCCGCTGTGGCCTGTAAAGGATGTGACGGCTGTGTGGAGATACATATATAACTGTATCATCTGCATACATTTGGAAACCTGCTCCGAGACATGATGATATTTTATATATAAACTAAACAGAAATGGACCAAGAACAGAACTCTGTGGAACTCCTGTTTCAGTTTTTAAGAGATATTTCTCATTATTAATAATAACACACATTTGGAAAGATTTAAACGACAATAATATTTTATCAGAGAAAATAATGAATGGTAACATTTATTTGGCAGCTTTAGATCCAGAAATGAAGAGTTGCTGGAATTTTTTATCTGTGAGAGAAAAGTTTTGCTCATTCTTAATATTTGCACAGTTCTGGTTATTAAAGATTTTACATCTGTTGGTTTTAACACCAATAAAATAAATATAAATATAGAAACAGAGGCAACTTGTTAGCCAGGCTCTATCTGAAGGTAACAAAAGTAAGCAGCTCCTAACCTCAGTAATTAACATGCTATATCTAAGCTAGGGTAACTGATTGCTGGCTGTAGCTACATATTTAATGTACAGATATGGGAGTGGTATCAATCCTCTCATCTTGAATACATACAGAAAGCAAAAAGGTGCATTTCCCATAATTTTAACTTTCTATCAGGTGACACACAACACATAAAGACCATAAAAACAACAGTGATGTTGATGTATCCTGAATATGTCTTAATATTGACCAGCTTGTCTGAGTAAATCATGTTAAAACACCGACATTTCTTCTGAGATGAAATTATTTATTCTCGCCTGTGAAATTTTAAAAGCCTGTTTGCCTGCAGCTGTTATCCGTTTCTGACAGAGGAAATAAGGTTTTAAAATTAGATTTCAGTGGGTGTCTTGCTCACCACAGGTGATTCAGGCCCAATCACAATGACAGCTAAGCAGTAAGTGACTTTTTTCCCCTCAGTCAAAACAAAACTGATGACGTCACTCATCATACACAGTTTGCTCGCTGCCACCCTCAGTACATTCTCCACTCCTCTCTGTCTTTTATGTCACTCCCCACCCTCTCGCTTTCTCTCTCCTTTTTGTATAAACTCAGTTTCTTATTCAATGCTCTTATTCACTCCTAATCTGTATGTGGAGAAACTGATGTTTGGTGATGAGAAAGAGCGAAAGGAACATGATAACTTTATGTCTATTTGAGTTTCTATCATCATGTTGCCTTAGTTACAGCTGCTATATAGATTGGTGTCCATACGAGCCTGGTTACTGTTTAACCTCCCCACCCACATTTGCCCAGATTAGGAAAATCAATAAGATAACAGCGGCAACACCGGCCTTACCTTGCACCAACAACACCCTTCTCACACTACAGCACCCTGCGCCAAACTTCCACATTTTACACCTTATGGTGAGGGAGGAAAAAGTGGATTTAAAACACATGCTTGAGAGGAAGCAGAGGACGACATGGTCAATGTAAACACACAAGTCAGTTCAAGTATGGAACTTCCATTAGGTGAGTACACACTTTTACTGTTTTAATGCTGAGTGACAAAAAAAGAAAGAAGGTAGAAGGTAGCAGCTGCTTGCTTTTTCTTTCTTTTCAGTGGTTTGTGCAGCAGCCGTTTGCTCTGCTGGATCACAACAGATTCAGAATGGAAATATCATCGCCATTTGTGTCTGCCTTTTTCACACGGCTGTAATCCAGGAGGTGTGTCAGAGATATGGAGGTTCTTAAAAAAGGGCCATGGGAGCCGGGCCTGATGGTGATGATGGTACAGAGGTTTTGAGATGTCTGAGCTGTTCGAGTACATCGAGTCTGAGGGGGTTTACGGGGGGATTGAAATGGTTTGGACATGATGTTGTTGGTGCAGTTTTGAGAAGCTGCTGTAGTGGATGAAGTCAGGGTGTGTTTTTAATCTCAGTGCTGGAAGAATTACTTAGATCCTTTATTTAAATAAAAGTAGAAAGGTTTTAAAATATTCAATTACAAGTAAAAGTCCTGCATTCAAAATGTAAAGATAAAAAAGTAAAAGTAAGAAAGTAAAAGTACTCATTATGCAGAAGTGTTATGTTATTATAGAATAGTTTTATCTCCACCTGGGGATCATGTGTTTGGTTGTGTGTGTGTGTGTGTCTGTCCGCAGCTAATCTCGCATGCTACTGGACCAATCAGCGTCATATTTTTTGTGCACATTTATGACTGTATGCTCAAGAAGCTCTTGTGGTTGCGGTGATTCACAAGTTTTGAAAACCTATTTTACTGACTGCTCTGTTTTATACTGCCACTGACTGCTGACTCCTCACTCCTCCCAACTGGCCAGTAGGGAAACGATATGCATTACGACATAGCTAAAGGCAATCGGCTAGGCTAAAAACAAGGATTACCTTCTCTGTTGCAGGCCCCATTTTTGGCCTTTCCTCTCCTCTTGAACCAGAGTATCTGCAGATGTTATGATCCACTCAAGTTAGATACAATAGAGATGAATAAGACCCCCATTTTTGTTTTCTTCACCCCCCTCTTGACTGTAAGGGAGCTGTTATAGATCCTGTAATGATTGGCTGTACATTGTAAAGTGTACAGATGGTGTGTGTTTGTGCCGCACATAACACAGTTTTGACTGTTTGTGTAGAGAAAGAGATATACAGCTACTAAAATGTAAATGCCAAACAGGTTTGTGTAGAGTTCACTTAGTATATAGGCCTGTACATTTATACTACCATATATCCAACCTTAAATTTAAATTTCTGAGCTCTTTATAGGAGGCAGCATTTGAGTTACAAATATACACACAACAACAAGAGAGGCAGAGGATCCAGTTACGTCGAGGCATTTAAAAAAAAAAAGAAGAATATGAAATGCAAGATTAAAGTCGTCAATGACAGAACAGTCTGAATTGACTCAGTAGTCTGCAGTGTGTTTAGCATCCGTATACTTTCCTACGTACTGCCGATCATAGCGTTGTAATGTGTCACATCATCTGTACATGCAGGACCCTCAGCGGATCTGCAGGCCGAGCTCTGCAGTCCACTGAGTTCACTGTTCTCGTATTATTCTGTGTTTATCTCTAACAAAGACACGTGAGAGCATTTTAATGTAGTTTGTCAATGTGGAGCCAATTGCTTTGTATGTTACTGGGTAGGTTAGAAGCACCTTCTGCATCACATAATATCAGCAGTGTTAACTGTGAGCATCAAATAAATGTAGTGGAGTAAAAAGTACAGCATTGAAGTTTAAAGTAGTAACTGAAAACACTGAAAAATGAAAGCTTAGATGAAACTTTGATGAAGCTCACATATTGCTATGGCCACAGGATAAACACAGAACAAACACAAGAGTTCTTTAACATCACAGAAATCCCCATCAGTCACATCTCTCTTCACACTGCTGCTACTGGCTACTTCTGTTCCCTGTGTGATGTCTGCTTTGAACCATGTCATTGAAAGCAAATGCCCCACTGTACTTACTACCTCTCACACCAGCTTTCACGTACAGCAGTTGATGGGGGTTTTGTCTTCACTCTCATGGTCACTGAATGATTTGCATGTCACACTGGGGGTGGTGATGCAAATTCATTTTCACAAAGCTCTGGATTGATTAAAGTGGTTGTCCTTATACAGAAGTTACTATCTGAAGTCTGCAGCGCTGAAGGTTTCCTGGAAGGAGAGTTTGTTTTGTTAAATAGTGTATTGGTTCATGTTAGATTTTACAACAGGTTTATCCTACACCTCTACTGCATTAATCCATCAGTATTACACCTGCTGCATGCCTGGTCACAGAGAGTGGTGCAGCAAAATTCATCCTTTTAGTTAGTTTGTGACACTGTTTTCTTGTTCATCCAAATGTCACCATGTGATCAGACAGTGATGTGTAACATAAATAAATGCAGCGCAAATTATTTGGTTTGTTAAAAATCCTTTAAAAAATCATCCTCATTTAACTCCTCCTACTTGTTGTCAATAAATTGCATCACATCTCATTACTGAGCCACTGGGTGACATCTTCTTTCATTATGATGAACAGAGGCACTATTTTGGCTCGATCCCTCATACAACATCC